TTGTGGCAATTAGACGCTTAGCTTGCTAATCCTACTAATATCTACTAAAGATTCAGATGATTCCTACGTGTATATTATTTTGATTATTTTTACTTTTTTTGCGTATAAAAAAACTGAACGAAATTGATTAAAATTTAATACTTAGATTAAATCTTTTCGCGATTACTTTTTATTGTAATCATATTTGTAAAATTGCAGGAATCTTAAATGCTGGTTCAAGATAAACACAAGATGCTCAAGAAGAAGTCATCCCCAAGAGTAAGAGATGAGAGATATGGTTAAAGGTCAACCTGAAGGGGCGTATTGCTAACAATTAGACTCCATTACTAACAATCCTATTATCTCTATTTCTAGGTAGCAGTCTCTAAAGTTAAGATAGCCCTGTCGATTGGAAATACAAAATCTTATACGAGAAAAAATATCTCTTCCCGAATAATATTTGTATATATTAATAAAATGATGTAAACGCTTTGTGTTAGAGAATTTATTTGCGTAATTTAATGCGTAATTAATTCGTATGCATAACTAAAAAAACATGAAGTAGATATATACTTCATTCTTTTAAATGTCTTTATGAAGCATTGCATATTATCATGTAAAGTACTACAACTTAGAAATTTTTTATATATTTCTTGTTAATAATTTAAATTTAATTTCTTCTTACATTTATCACTTCTTTTTCTATAGTTTCTTTTTTACTGTCTTTTTTATGCAACTTAGAATGTCAAACAAACTGACAGTCCACCTGATGGAAAGTGGTAACCGTCGCCTATAGACATGAGCAGTACAATGGGCAGAATATACTGTTTCGCCCATAATACCGCCCATGTGTTGCCATTCCTGAGGACTAAGGTTATTCCTCTGTATCTTGTAAATTTATTGCTATATCCCACACTTCAAACTGAAATACAGCTATGTAAACACATCCTCTTCATGATAGAAACACGAATGAGACAGAGGTGCTCAAGCAAACGACTTTTGTACAACCTCTCCCTCTAATGTCTTCTTTACCATAATATACTGATGGTCTCTCCACTGCTTGATTTCTGTCTTTTTATTAACTCGCACAAACAATAATAAATTATTACAAAATAAAAAAGGAGAACATTTGATTCTCAACATTGGTTCACAATAAAGGATAATAGTAAAGATTAAATAATAATATCTAATTTTCTATGTATGTATATCTCATAAATTTTCATAGTTTTAGCATAACGTACATACAGGGATCGATTCTGAGCGTTATTTCACTTCAGTTTGATTATTTTTCGAAACTACTGTTTTATGCACCATCATAAATCATAATTAATAATAGTAATAATAATTTTGAATTAAAACTATTACACAATTAGTCCATATTAGTCTTTACACTAAACATTTTTCAGTGATATCAAATCAAGGCGCCTTAGAATCGACCCCACTATCTACATACATAGATGCTCGTGTCTCTTCAAACGCTTTAGCAAATATAGCCCAACTTATTTATGTAAGTGAATTTATATCTTACATTTAAACGATTCGTCAGTGAGTGCATGAATAGGGATACCGAAGTATAATATTACTATTTGAAATAAAGGTGAAAGGTTAAATTGAAAAGTAAAAATACATATAATATTGTCATATCCGTTTTATAAAAAAAAAGAATAGAAATGAGTAAAAACTAGCATCAGATGCTTCAGTATGATACTTATCTTTAATAATTTCTTTGACCAACTTAAAATTGATATATATGTTGTCAAAATGGTTTTTGTTATTCCAATCCTTACTAGTATTAAAAATATGAAAGTGAGTTTGTTTCCTTATAACGCCTTAATGGCTTAATCAATTACTATAAAATTAGGTATACACGTCTATGGTATGGTGGCTTAGGTGTACACTATGTGTATACTTAATTTTATACGTATGTCTATAGGCGATGGTTACCACTTTCCATCAGGTGGACCGTCAGCTTGTTTGCCATTCTAAGTCGTATAAAAAAAATGTGGAATGGGAAAGAATATACGCTTCTTTTGATCCCTAAACTACTGGTTACTAAACATATTACAGTCACACGGACAAAGTGACGAGCAAGGATTAATAAAATTATAAATGTGATAGTTTGTAAAAATGGTTGAATTATTGTTACTCAATTAATCTTAAATGATTCAATAAATGGTTCAATGAATTTTAATAAAATTTGGTCATAAGGTAGATTATATCCTTTATTTTATTAATAGATCCCTATGTACTATTGCCTACCTACTGTATATATACATTACGTACTGAATCATGCAGGAAAAACGGTTAAATACACCTAGTAATACATTAATATGTCTGTAATATCCATGCACATGAGGAAAAATATCTGCTGGTTTAGAGAAGTTTGAATCGTATTACTTGCAATACTGAGAAAGTTGTTTTGTATTAAAAAAAAGTACGTTAACCGACAACTGAATGTTGATAGTTACTTTTTTAATACTCAACAATTTATCTAGTCCTATATGATGTATGTAATATTATACCGTTTTGAAACTTTTAGTATTGCAAACTCATGCTTTTTTCTATCAAGGTAGACACAGATAACAGAACTGTTTCGCGTACCCAGCCGTATTTCCTTTACCTTCTCTACACTCATAAATTTCTTTACACATTATATTCACTCACTGTCCGGACTGTCACCATAAGCGTGCTTATATCTCATTTGTTAGAACGCGCTGACTAATGTGACGTAAACAACATGTTAAATTCAACCATAGGGAATAAAATAGTACATAAACATATTATGTGCATAATCATATTATGTAAATATTATATATCTTTAATAAGGATGAGCACTGGAACCAGTGTAATCTTTCTATTATTTAATTTAGAATGATAAATTGATGGCCCACGTGATGGAAAGTGGTAAATATCGTCTATAGACACGACCAGCAAGCATTATGGATATCAATCATGCGTTGCCTTTCCTGAGAATTAGTGTTTTTTTAATGAGTGAAAATGAAATAGTAACCCGCCTGCGCTATCGGTATATGCTGATGGGGCACCAGTTAGAGATGATAGATGAGGACAATGCATGTCAGTCAGTCTATCATAACGAATTTGAAGAATTAATCACGATAATTTCCAGTTAAACCATATGGAGGTCGCCCTAATATACCCTCTTCTGCTAACAATGAGGATGTTATACCCCATCACTAACAATCCTTTTCCACTCGGATTAAGGTGTTATGCGTCCTGTAATTACATTGCCATATCCCACCCTTTATACCGAAACAGCCATACAAGAACAGCTGTTTCTTGACAGATATGTACGTAGATGAAACAGGGGTACTTAAGAAAACAACTTTTGTACAAATACTCCCTCTGGTAAACTAAGGGGATGTTGTGACTTAAACTGACATTAAAACTATTCATAATTATCCCTATTATTATATTTATTTGATTATACCTTTTTCTTTTGGGGTCTTTTGTTATTGAGCTGACTTTATTCTCATGACATCAAATATTATTTTTGAATAGATCCATTCAGTAATTACCATTGCTTTTTTTGAGGATATAGGAAATGACAGTATAACTATTATTAATCCATTAAGAGAAGGTAATGTCGTTCTAGCTAATAGTTTAACAATAGCCGTTTAAATAATAAATACGTATATACACCTGAACACGACATATCACATAGCGCCATCTAGACAAAAAATAAGCCGAACTTGCTACTTATACTACAAGTACTACACAATTGAAAAATACAAACATCTGATTGTAGGTATGACTAAGTCCTAGGTACTGATTTACTACATTTTTTTAATGCATGCACTCAAAAATGCTTATTTTGTACGGAAATAAAACCTGCGACTTGTCTTACCTTTTATGCTACCTACAGCTTAGTCTCATGTCAGTTTGAATATTTTTTACTGGTCAATTTAGTACTAGTAGGTTACACATACAAAGAAATTGACTTCACAAGAATATCTAATTCCTCAAGAAAACTAATCATGACACTACTAAAGTAAATTAGTAAGTAGCGAGTGCTATAAAAACTATTTGTTAAAAAACCGCTTCCGTACCTTATGCTTTAATACTTTTTCAAAAATATCAATGTCATCATAGTCGTAGAATACTGACGGATCTATATATGTAATATTTGTCAGATCTGTCAGTATTCTACGACTATGACGACGTAATGCCTCTTTTGACAACTACAACATCATTTTTATGTGTGAACTCCGATTCTAAATTTAGCCGAAATGAATTGGTACATATTTTCAATTACGGTATCTATTTAAAATCTTCGTCTGTGGCAGGTTTATATTGGACCTGTTACTGATTCCAAATTCAACACAGGTCAGCACTGACCTGCAATTTTGTAAAGTGGTTTCAAGACACTGCTGCTTTAGAAATAACTGTTAAATTTTCATTGTATATTTTTTGAGTCAGTTCACTGACTCCATACAATGAGTAAGAGTCAAATTCTGATGCTGATTCAGAAATCTGTAACTAATCTAATATAAATTTGTCTATAATAAAGCGACCTTATTACTATAAGTAATCTTTTTAATGTAACTTAAGGGTAACTTTAAGTAAAATTAAGAAAAATAATGCTATTAGTATATTGCACTTAAATTTGTCCCTTATTCATGATTACTTCTCTAATAGGTAATAAATGAGATAACAGCTACTAAATACAATAGTTATGTAAATTATTAACTATTATATAAGCAAAATAAAATATATATTTAAAAACTACTTTGAGTAATATTTTTAAATAATTATAACATATATACATAAATATATAATTTTAAATAAAACTTACAATATAAAAGAAACAGGTGTATGATAATAGGTAAAAAACAATACACAACACACACTTATACAATATATTTTTTGTATGTGTACACAAAAACACGTGCTCCGATTTAATATTTAACATTGTTGAAATGATAAAAAAAAATATAATATTTATACGTATTTAATAATCCTATTACACAAAGTGCGTATTCGAAAATAAATATTTAACTCACCTTTACGAAATATAAAAATCAGGACGGCCACACAAACAACTCCACACGCGTACACTTCAGAAAACTTTAGCACTTTTGCAGAATACCCGAGACACTGTTACCATCCTTGCGCGACACATAGAACTATCCACATACAGCTATAATATTCGAAACTCGATTCGAAATTTAAATTGTTGGAATTAATGGTCGGATTGAGATTTCAATTCCGCGAGTGACGCCTGAACACGGCCGGAGTAATGAGCGATCTCACTTCGACTGAACGTGGATTGGTTCAGGGCGGGCGGTTTAGTTGAAAGTAGGGCTGGCACTACGACGCCTGTATTGATGATTACTTTAGTCAATTACAGCTGAACATGTCACACACGTAGACAATGTGGTAAGAACTGTGTCAATGCTCTGTAAATTGTGAATGTGTCAATGTATTTTATCTCAATGAAAATTTTATTGCTGACCTAAAGTTTACCTATTCTACTTTCTTTTCTTTTACATTCGCTAACTCAAGATATTTATAAATTTCCTTATGTATTGAATAAGCGTTCACACAAAAATCTATGATAATTATTAATTTAGTGTAAGGATAACGCTCTCTAATATCAATAATTATTCTACGGCTTTATTATACAGGCAGGCCTCTGCCATGGTTTCCCAGACGATAGTTTTACATACCTTCCGAAATAGGATGCAATTAAGATTATTATTAATTGATTCAAACATCAATTTGAAAAATTCTTAAGATTAGACTATGATTAGATTGAATTGTGTAATTCCTGATGTGTAGTCAAGCGTTGTCAAAATCACGGAAGGTCGTGAAGATAAGAAAATCACTTTAAACCAGCTGCTAACAATGAATAATCTCTTAGAACATTTCAGTATTTGTACTTGTACAGAGCACTAAATTCAAAGATGGTAACTTCTATTAGACTAGCTACTAGAACAAGGACTAAAGCAATTAGTCCCTGCTCTAACTAGCATAGAGCGACGTTACGGATTAATAATTTAAGCACTGCAAAGGTTTTGAATTCGATCATATGGAAAGAGAAGTGATAATCGTCGCAGACAGGCTTTGAATTTTAAATATCATTGTTCGTAACATGTAAATGAGTTCTGGCTACATAAATATGAAGGACGTTTTATAAAGAAAGAAAGTAGGTTGGTATCTAAAAGTTTAAAAGTATTTGCGCCCGTTAAGAATAAAAGTAACCATTTTCTGTGGACCATTGTTCTTATCTGCTAATCCCTATTTAAATGCAAAAGTAAGTCTCTATGTATGTCTGTTTACTTTATTTTTAACTAAAATCCAAAGCATTTTACTAATCTCATCAGCAAGACATATTAGAAACTACTAGAGTTACTAAACACATATTATAAATAAAATTAATATTGTTATATCTATTTTAAAACATAAAGTGCTATATCAATAGATTCTTTTTAGATTATACAGTTAAGTGGCACTTATATACTTGCATAGTAATCTAAATACTCGTGTACATACATTCTACATATAACAAGGTAACAAAGATGAAACGAGATGACATAAACAGAGAGAAAAATAAATTTTACTAGAATATTTACTATAGCATGTGAGTGTTTCCAATCAAATTTATAGGATAGTAAAGGAATAAAAATTGAAAGAATGGATAATATGTTATCGTAAAGGATTTTTTACATAAATAAGAATTGCAAATAAGCTTAGATATAGGGAAATAGTAACCACAATCGTATAAACATTAATACTACTACAAAGATAGCACAGAATGGAATTATACACATATCTTGTGTCAAAGATTACCTTAACTTAAGTATTTCAAAGCGAAATACATCATTATTTCTGCTTCACGATATAATTAAACAGGTAAGACAGTAGTACCTAATAGAGTGTGTTAGACAAGACTCTACCAATAAAGATCTCTTATTTCACATCTTGTCTTAACTATTGTGTTATTTCTGAAACAATAGTGCACACAGACTTATTGTTAATCTGCATCGAATAGATTCACTCACTACTAAGTTGTATTAAACTTCAGTAGCTTCCTTTTTTTATTTAGATTTACCGTAATCATACTACTCTCACTTCTTTTACTTACTTTTTACTTTCTGTTACTCTCTTTTGAACTTTTCTTACCTACGACGACCATTATTTTGTTAGAGATTTAAATCATATCAGAAAAAGCATCTTAAATCTGCATCTCCAAGTCTAAAAATTATACTATTAAAAGATTAAAATGAAAAACCCCGGCTGTACTAAGTACCTACCATTGAAGGATAATAACTAAGACTGAAGTCTGGTCTGTTAGTCCATCAAAGTAAATTTACAAGGAATTAACCTTGACAGCTTCCATGAGGAAACCGTGTGGAGGTCGACCTAACCGCAATAGTAATATGGACCGCATTACTGACAATTTCTTAGTAGGTCACAAAATATATCAAGTCTATTGTATCATTTAATTAGAAATTCATTACCATAAATGCGTTATGAAAATTTAAATGGAAAACTACGTATGGCTAGAAATAATCGACGTAAAATACCCGCCTACATACATATATCGACGTTATGTTAAAAAATAGAATTGTAAGCCGTCCACATGTCGGTAACATTTGGAATAAGTCGATACAAATTACATTACCTTGGATAAAGTATTGGAAATAATGACTGTAATTAGTCGCCTCAGAAGAAATTCCGATCGAGTTAGTATCAAAATTAGGTCAAAGTTAGAAGTACCGAGAATGAGTGACAAGATTTTTAAACTTGATCTGTTCGTATTTCTTTTCATTCGCATTTATAGTTGATTTAGCTGCGCAAAAAGACGGTAAGCTCAGCCCTATAATGGCGAACTCCATGGCACAGTAATGAGCGTGTTGCTTTATGCAAATGTGATCTCAGGTTCGAGTCTTGGTTGGATCAATTTAGTAAAACAACTTTTCTGAATAAGTTCGCTCTGGATGTTTTTATTTGTGTTCCCAGATGTTCGTTGCCTAGTTTCTCATAACAGTGGGTCTCTTAGCTTAGGAATCAAACGATTGGTATAATTTTATGGCAGTTATTACTAATATACTCAATTTCTAAAAAAATCACAGTAATTTTAAAGATATCGCGTAACATACACACAAAAAAAAATCAGACGAATTGAGAACACCATTTTGTTAATAGTTAAAAATCCAATTGTACAAAATCAATGAGAATAAAATAATATATTACTATGGAAATATTCTGATGATAAAGCTTGAAAGCAGGCACTGGAATTTGCAATTTAAATTTTCCATTAAAAAATGCAACCTCACAGTTTTATATCGTCTAATTCATAGACAAAGTACGTATCTGATATAATTATAAAAAAGAATATCATCATAGATATTTAGTTAATAGATATTAATCAATCTAATAATGGACCTTAAAGGTCAACACAAGATTTACAAATAAAAGTGATTTAAAATATACATACATCAATCCTAAACAAACAATGTTATAGAAGGAAATCAAAAGATTGAACAAGGAAAGAATGTAATCATTCTTTTCCTTGTTGAATTTTTTTCCAGTAAAAGGATGTTAGTTTATCAGAGGTCGTCCCGTTTTGCTACTGTTGACCTTTTTAGATTGATTATACTAAATTAGGGACAAAGCAAAAAGTATTTCGTCTTTTAATCACGTAAGATGGAGTACTGTAGTAAACAGTCACTGGATGGATTTTTGCCAGAGAGAGCCCATACAAACGTTATCTAGATAGGTAGGTACCTCTATCCCATGTTTTCTTACGTCAGGCTAATGTTACAGGCTTTACTGTGATTGAATTTAAAGACTTAGATACTGAAGTAAAATTACAATGTCTGGAGGCATTTTTTGGCAATTACATAGTATCATGGTGATTACAGTATATACTATAATGCCCTTAGTACATGCACATATTTGTGACTAGTAGGTGACGATATATCTTATATTATATATATAATATATTACTTTCAGATATATAAAATATATATATATATAATATATTACTTTCAGGTAGTTTGTTAGTTTGTTTCTCATTCCAAGTTGCATATAGAGAAAACAATTTTACAATATCATTATATACATAAATAGGACATCATCATCATTATGTCAGCCGTTTACTGTCTACTGCTGGACATTAGCCTCCCCTAGGAGGGAGATTTTGCCAGTAATCGTCACGCTTGGCAGGTGGGTTGGCAACCGCAGTATAACTTTGGTGATGTTTTAAGAGAGACGCTGCTGCCCATCAACCATTAAGTTCTCTTAATCACCTCTTACGACACCCACGGAAAATATATGCCGAGATCACACGGCAATAAGGCAGTTAATAAGACAGCTTGTTAGTAATGTTATTAGTTTCCATTTCTAGCAATATGCCATATCAGGTTGACCTCTACACTATTTCCCCCTAGATACCATCATGATTCCTTTTTGACGAATCCGCCACTATGGGCGAACTGACTCGCTTTCAACTTCACCTATGTCATCCTTCACTGATGCCCCGTCAGTGTATACTAATAGCATAGGAGAATTTATCATTCCATTAACATTAAGAAAAAAAAATATTTTAGAATAAATAATAATGATAAAAAGTACTCTCACCACAAAAGTGTCAGCACATTTACTTTTTAATTTTATTCATTTTTACAAATAATATAAAAATATCTAAAGTAGTGTCTTGATTTGTTATCTCTTTACTAGATCAACTGATCTTTGCAAAATGTGGCATACCGACACGTATTTTACATAAGAAATAACGATCAATATTTACAGGTACATGCTCGGAGTCTCTTTGCGTGATAGAATCCGAAACGAGGAAGAGAATTATTCGCAGAAGAACCAAAGTCACCGACATATCCCGAAGGATAAGCAAGTTGAAATAGCAATGGGCTGGTCACATAGCTCGAAGAATCGACAACCGATGGGGAAGAAAAGTTCTTGAGTGGCGACCTCGTACTGGCAAACGCAGTGTATGCTCCTTATGCCGGTCTATGGGAGTGACTTATGTCCAGTAGTGGGCAGATAATGGCAGAAATAATGATGATGATGATATATAGGATACGTAGACGAAGTCATGAACACAACTTGTATAGACTCCTCATTACATGTATAACATTTGTAAACGAATGTGCTTATACCTACTTATTCTAACCTTAGCGTGCATGTATTAAAACCATTTAACTATAAGTTTGCACTGTTCTGACCTTTCGGATTACCGTAGTAAGTCCTCATGGGAAAATAGGTAAACACGGCGCCTTAGTACGTAGGTACGTTATATTGTTTCATAAATATTTTACAAAGGTACAACAACAACATGAAATTAAGTTCTAACGAAGTTTAAGATTCTCTATAAATTAGTATATAGTTACACTAGATTGTACACGTATAAAATCCGAATAAACAACATTGCGAACTCCCAATGAGAGTGAACCGTTATGTAGAAAAATAAAACTGTAAAATAACAGTTTTACGACACTATCACTACGTACAAAATTAATCAAGCGCCGACGTGTGTCCACTGCTTGACAATTTATTAACACACACGAAGTAGGGTGGCGCACTGGCCAGTGTAAAATTTATTTTTCATTACAAATAGGACAGCCGTGTAAAAACTCTTTTCGCCGCTGTAATTTAATTTTGTATTCATTTTTTTTTTATTATTATTATTCTCTTCTGGTCTTAGCGTATTTATATATTTTTTTTAAATCATCCACGTGACCTGGATATATTGATTGTCTAAGTCAAAGAGGAATAATACTATGCCATATTTCATGAGAATTGGTTGAGCTGTTAAGACAATAAAATCAATTCCATTTTTATAACATTTAGAAGGATTGTATTTACTTACGCATTTATTAAATGTAATTTAATGTAATTAGTAATTTGATTTGATTTGCCTGAGCAACATTATAACAATTATTTCTGTATTTAAATATATTTTTAATATCATATATATATATATATATATATATATATATATATATATATATATATATATATATATATATATATATTATTTATTTATTTATTTATTTATTTATTCATTAGTACAAATATGTGTACATGGCGGACTTAATACTAAAAGCATTCTCTCCCAGTCAACCATAGGGAAGTGTCAGAATACTCGAATAAATATATATCTATACTAATATTATAAAAAGGAAAGATTTCAGTTTTTGTACGTGTATTTGTTAGTTTGTTAAAAATGAATTAACTTAAGAACTACCCAACCGATTTTAAAAATTCTTTCACCTACAGAAAGCTACGTTATAAGTGAGTGACATAAATAATATATAATTTACAAAAAAAAATTGAAATATCCACGAAAATGACAATAATATATCGCAAAATATAAAAAAATTACCTATTAAAACTAATATGAATTACTACTTTATCTTTCTATCTATCTACTCTTACGAAGCCGGGGCAGATATCTAGTACAGCATAAAGTTAATTGCATTTATGTACTTAAAGTTCTTTTCTTCCAAAAGCATTGTCAAGTCAACCAGGATAATCTTGTGGATAAAATAACAGCTACTTTAATTTGTGTAAAATATCAACAAAATATTTTTATGAAAAAAAAACAATAGGACATCCCGCCGTAATAATATTGTTCTTTATTTAAAAAAAAATCTAAATTCGTACATTTATAAGCAGCCTGGTATAAATTATATATACTGTTTTACGTAGATATTTTAATTTTAGTTTGGATTAGCATTCCAGGTCTTACAATCCCGAAATAAATCGAACGCCGCTACTGTTAATTTACTTTTTAGTATGGGTACAATATTTACATTAGCCACTCAATATCCATCATGTTGGTAAACGAGGTACGCCTGCTGTTTGTAATGCCGTCCATTTTACAGCTGGCGGCGCATTTGTTTATTTGAATGCATATGCATGTAGATTTAGGATCCAAGTACACGATAATTGATTGATCACGTTATTATTCATAGATAATGACGATATTATTTCATTGACAGGTACATATTACTATCTATTTATCAGCCCTAGCTTTATACAGTTTTTTTTTTTTTTAAATAAATATAATCCATTGTACTAACTAATATTATAGCTTACTATAGGTTTAGAGTTTTTAAAATTGTTAAAATAGACCCAAAAGGTCATCTGGAAGAAATTACTTAGCGATAACGCCTGTAATCTGTATCAGTTCTTATCAAAATTAACTGTATTTACTATTTTATAAATAGTGCAATAAATTGTAAAATAAATAAATAAAGTATTTTTTGAGTTTATCCTTTAAAAACAAACAAACATTAAAGTCAAATCTGTCCCCTTTATAATAAAAGTATAGATAGGTGAAGCCGAATTTGTTAGGGGTAAGTGAAACAAAAAAATACTTAATTCTATAGAGCATATTATGCCAAAACAAATCATATTGGACAAACATATTGAGCTTCCCATTCTAATTTAATAGCTACCATACCATGTCATTACGGAAGGCTCAAAATAATTTGTCATATTTCAACCAATATTCTTTTAATAAAAATATTCCATTTCACTATTAGAACACACCCTTCAAGTGATGCTCACGATTTCCATTTCACCCTTTTCTTTCATTTATTTAAGAAATCAATATTAAACATATACGAGTACATAAACACAAACCCGCTCGGGGTTTATCCTTCTCTGTGTAAACATAATTTATCTAATTTATATGATAATTTATTCAAGACCTAAAACATCAAAAAATTATGAAAAAAGAAAAAATACATTCGCATTCGGAACATTAGCTTTTTGAATTAAGAACATCCCAATTTATTTTCTTGTTTTTGTGAAAAATTAATCTCATTTTTTCCCCCTTTCAACATTAGTTCTTACATTCTACAAATACTCTTGGACAGATTCTACTTGTAGAAACTGGTCTATTCAATAATTAATTAATTAGTAACATACCTGTCTTGCCTTCTTTTAGATGCCTACATACAAATACGAGCCCCTTTTCAGTAGGACTAACTTTGATATTATTTGTGATGAGTATATAAAGAACATAATACTTAATAATATTATATTACTTAATTTTACAAATAATTTTATTTAATTAATACTAACATATTTAAGTAATTACATACAAAATTAAGTCTTCATATTTCTCGAGTTTCATCAACTTCAATTTATTCTCGACTGCAACAAAAAAAAACATAATATCAGTGAAAGTTGTAGCTCGACTTTTATCTCAATATAGCACTTTTATTTTGTGACAAACATTTCTACTGGTATATGACATAAGAAAGAAATTTTAATTTAAATTTTCATTAAAATAATCTTTAAAATTGATTCTCATTTTACAAAGATATCACGTAAAATACTTGTACACAAAAAATACAGTCAAGAAAATAAAAGATTTCCTTATTTTGAAATGGGTTAAAGAACGCCATAGGTTAATGGGAAAGTTCACGCCAGTCCCTTGTAGAGTGGACAAAAAGGACAGAGTGCCGTAGACCTATATTCTTACATACACTTCTTGCTTTTTCCAATTTCATAACTCGTCTCATGCAAGCACACTTCAGAGACTTGACTCATCACTTGAAAGTAATTTAATGATTTTACTAAACTAGGTGTTATCTTGCGGAAGTTCATATCGTTGGTTATTTTAATAGAATTAGTTTGTTTATTTCCGCAATCATTTATTTATTTATTTATAGGATTACCAACATAAGATACAGCTAAACATTTCAGTACAATACGCTGGTAGATTAAATCTAACTGTTCTTACAGTTATAGGCAACTATTACTACCAAAATTTCCACAATCTTCCATACACGTATAAGCCGTCAATCTTCGACTATTATTCTCTTCACGCACCTTTTGTGACATCTATTTCATCTCTAAATGGAGCATGTTCAGGCAAATTATACTAATATGAAAGATCCATTCGAGTATTAGCAGTCACACATTTTTTTTATACAACTTAGAATGGCAAATAAGCTGACAGCCAACTTAATGGAAAGTGGTAATCGTCGCCTATAGACATGAGCAGTACCATGGACATAACAGAGTATACTGTTTCGCCCATGATACCTCCCATGCATTGCCATTTCTGAGGTGTTATTCCTCTCTACCCAGAAAATTCACGCCATATCCCACCCTTCAAACCGAAACACAGCCATGCAAACACAACTGCTTCACGGTTGAAACACGAATGGGACAGAGGTACCCAAGCAATCGACTTTTGTACAAAGTCTCCCTCTCCATATACTAATAGTAGCGGAATTAAACAAAATAGTTATATTTCAATAACCAATAATTTAATTGAAAATTTAGACCTTACCTGTGGGCCTCTATGAATGGCGAGTATCATGTCGTATTCATCCGAACCAATGATGATGGTAGCCCGACCGTCGTTACCCACTTGGACAGACTTTCCAGTACAACTGTTGCCGTTTCTGGTACCAGAAATAATGTCGCAGTATGTGCCAGCTGGGAGGCAAGTCTAAAATAAGAAATTTCTTTTATATTTTATATTTCAACAAGGAAGTCAGTATATAGCAACCTCTTCTCGATTGTTATTAATAGAAACTAATAGACCTATTAGTATGAATGTTAATTCCTGGTAAATTAATTTAAATACACCAACTGACCTGATTTAATCCTCAACTCACCAATCATCCCTTTCCAGTACCCCGCCAGCATATACTGTTAGCACAGGCAAGGTTACCATTCTATTTTTAACTCTTTTCTTGATATAACGACCATCACAAACATAGATGGAATTTAAAATGTTAAATGTTACATAATTAATATATGCCGTGATATTATAAAAGCTAAATTACTACGAACTAAGTCCCTTCGAAAATGCCATTCATAATGTTATTCTCAGAACACTCAGAGACATACATTCCACATAGATAACTCCGAATCAATATTTGATAGATATTAAATAAACTCGTTTGACAAAAATTGGTACACAAAATACATGTAGTTACTTTGTGTGCCAATTTTTTCCAGTTACGATATTTATTTATATTCATATCTGGATCGCTACTATATTGTACAGTCGATAGGTGCAGGTGCAAGCTACTTAAAACCATTACTTGTGAAAATTTATGGAGAAGCTTATATTTAACAGTGAATAATGATCGACTGGAATGATGTTTTATAATAACGTAGAAGGTATCGGAAGAGAAAATAAGTGATATATCATCATATTGTGGCAATGCTTTGGTTATCGTCTTCCCTCTTGAGTACACAATGTGCTCCATGATATGTTATTATTCATACATAAAGATAGCGGTTACTATTTCCCTTTTTATGAGTACAACTTATTTACTATTCTCAGTAGAAGAAAAAATGGTAAAATGAATTGTTGGTCAACAATTTAAGATTGTGTTCCACAAAAAAACCGACTTCAATTGTGACAAATCTAGTTATTTTGACTTTAAACTAAACTATTAAAACAATTTTGATCAAATTTCTATGAAACCAAATTGTAAGTAACTTTTAGATTAAAAAAATAATCTTTCAAATCGGTTTACAATTGACGGAGTTATGAGCTAACAAATATAAAAATAATCTAATTAAGAACCGTCTAGCAAAATGCACTCATCTTGGTTCTGTAAAACAATTATCATGTGAGAAATAAATGAATTTTTGTGTTTATCATTTCCGACAATTGTTTCGACTTCATTTGTTTCTTCAGAAGGCCATTTGCATCGTAACGTATAGTATTAGTAAGTTTATAAAATTCCCGTTATATATGTACATATATATGCATATATATATGTGTGTATATGTATATAGACATCGTTAAAAAATGACAATCATCTTTAAAAAAAAAACAGTCGTATAAATCTATCAAAGATGCACTTTCATAGTCAAACGAATGAGGAAATAGCTCTAGTTCTTTGTTAGTGTATAAAAATTCTACATATTCTTTATAAGACTGCCAGATGACTCTTGTCAAATAAATACTGATAGTAAATGTTGACATATCACATACCTGCAAGTTTTGGTTCAACGTCCAATATTCATTATTAAAGGCAATGAAGGCTTGACCACCACGACAGAAAGCAATCTGATTGCCACCGTTATCCCACCAGTCGTTAACCCCAGTTCCCAAGGCTACATTCCTGAATTGAACCATTTGGTAGATCTGACGCCACCGGTGCTCGCAGATCCAGCCGTTACCACATGTGTTATCCTAAAGTAATGAAAATACAAATTTGAATAAAATTTAAATACTTGTGCATAATAATTATTATATAAAAAGAAAAACAAAGCAGAGGCCGATGATAAAAATCACCATTTAGTTTTGCATTTGATGTAAGAATTAATTCTCTATCGCTTGTTCTTATTATAAAGTTAATAAATATTTAACTACTACACTATTCTATTAATTCCATAGACCTGACAGTATGACATCCTCATGAATAAACTTAACGAACTTTCTGGAGACATAATTCTGAGTATTCATACTAATTCATAAAATTTTATTTCCGGCCTTGGCCCTACCAAAAAGCATACTTTTCAAAGACTTATAAATAGCATTTCCTGACTCATAATAATTATGAAGAAAAAAATTTAAGAAAAATATCTATATTATACTTACCGAATTAATGGAAGGAGAGATGATGTTACCGCTGCTATCCATTGGCGGGCCAGCCTCGGTATTTACGAAATCAAAGCTACTCATCAATTGTGGTTCTCCATAAGGATGGGCCAACATAAACGCTACAGCAGCTTTGTACTGCCTAGCCTGTTTATATGTAAGGATACTACCACCAGCGCCGTGCCCTCTCTGGTTATCGTGGTTATCAATAAAAGTCAAGGAGACATCAGAAGCTAGCAATCCCCATTGAGGACCCCAATTGACCAGCCATCTAAGCTGATTGCCACCTTGGAATGCCCTGCTCAGTTCCATTCCAAATTTGAACTCGGTGACAGCAGCTAGTGGGGTATATTCGTCACGACTCATGGCCTCTCCGCCAAGATCAATGACTTCCTGATAGATGTAAGGACGAGCGCCTGATGGAAAGCCGTGATCGGTGTTCAAGTTATGTAGCCTGTCGTAAATAACTCGGAGATCGGAAGGCCACATATGTTTAGCAGCATCAATTCTAAAATTATTCATATAAACGATAAGTACTAAATATGGAAAGTTATTTATCTGGTGGCTTATACCTCTTAGTTCAGAAAATCTCGGCAATTATCAAATCTTCAAACTAAAACACTCTTACCCTTTATACTAACACGACAATATCCAAAGGCTCAGTTCAAAATACCCAGACCCAAACCAATTTATAATACCAGAAGGAGTCTGCAAAAGTCGTCTATATGGATTCCTTTATCTCATACGTGTTTCTGCCATAAAACTTTTAATTTGTATTTGATATATTTCAGTTTGAAAGGTAAAATATGACATTGAAATTACCTAGCAAATAACACCTCCGTCTTTGGGAATGGTAACACATGAAGGGTAACAAAGGCATCACGAATGTAGTTTATAATATCTACAGAACAGTTAAGGACCTTTAACATAATCAGCGTTCTGGTAGGTGTTGTGTACGTGCAGACAATGGTAGTAATGATGGAACCAATTACAACATTATTCGGTCATATTGGTAGTAATGAATTTGATTCCTAGTCAGGCCTTTGGATGATAACGTTATTTGTGGTAAAAATAAATTATAACAAAATAAATATTTACCTAAAACCAGCCACGCCTATATCAATAAGGCTATTCATGTAACCCACAATCATAGAACGTACATATTCTGATCCTTGGTTTAAGTCCTTTAAGCCGGATAATTCACAGTTGCGTACCTGAAAAACATTTTACTCTGCTATGTACTTATTATACAAGATTAGAGACTCTATTGGAGTCTTCTAATATTTTTAATTATTTAATTTTAATTTAAACGTAAGTTCAATTAAGCTTTTGAGTACGGGCTCAAAGGATAGGTGCTTTGTATTTCAAATGCCCTACGCAGTCGGGAAGTAAGGCTTACTCTGATTATCAAAGCATTCTACCATGCCCGTAGCTCATTTGTAATTATGTAGTCGTATTTGGAACGTTAGCTTGAAGCTCTGTAATACTAGCTGTAATCGAATACCCTGTTTATATGAATTAGGGTAAAAATATCCTAGGAGGTACATCTGTGCACCATATTTTATTCAACTGTACTAAAATTATAAAGAGAAAAGGTTTCATTTTTTATACTATATTTACAGAATGAAAAACGAGTTAACGCATTTTAAAAATTCTGACATCTATAGTAACCTACGTTATCAGTGGGTAACATAGACTGTATATAATTCTTTATTTACTCATCTAACTTAGAATATTTTAATACGAATAACAACTAGTATTTACTACATTAAACTACACGAAAATTTGTTTGTTTGTTTGAACGCGCTAATCTCGGGGATTTGGATTTTTATATACTTGGTCTTGGTCTGGGTCGACTTCGGTATGAACGAAAACACGAAATGTAATTAAAAAATTCGGAATTTCTTTTAAATTCAAATATATTAATTATTCGCCATATCTTTTTTTAGAAACCAAATTCGGAGAAAATACGCCTAACAAAGAAAATCTGAGGAAGAAGTGACAATGTTATTTTAAAAAATTATACCATCAGTATTGAATCCGACTCCAGATATTTTTGAGCCACTTCTAATATACCTTATATAAATATTAGTACACATATATTACAACTAACCCTATCAGGGCAGCATCCATAGTCATTGCCTGATATGACGCAGTGAGGCCAGTTGAAATCATTGCGACCGTACGGAACAGACGGGTAGTGCCACTCACCAAAGTTGGCTGTACTACCACCAGTACCAACGTTCTCACTCCAAGTTCCAGTCATGTGATTAATAATGGCATCTACGTAGATCCTGAGAAAGGTATATGTTATTTTCCATTACAAAATCTATGAATATATTATAATTAGACTGTAAACAGTGTAAGCAGCTATGCAATGGCTATTCATGTCTATATACGACGATTACCACTTTCCATCAGGCGAGTTGTGGCGTCGACTTCTTTGCCACTTTAAGTATTATAAAAATAATTATCTGTGTATTCGATACAAATTAACAAACATTACTGGATGTATTTTAATTTAATTTTGATAACTTCATACCTCAGCCCAGCACATGATAGAAGGAGAAGAAAGTAGTGGTACTAATCATCATCATATCAGCCTCTAACTGTCCACTGCTGAACATAACCCTTCCCCTTGGGGGGGTTTTCCAGTAGTTGCCACGCTTGGCAGGCGGATTAGTAACCACTGTTAGGCGTTGGAGATGTTTTAAGAGGAACGCTGCTGCTCATCTCTTGCCCTCCCTTAGTCGGTTCTTATGATACCCACGGGAAAATAAGAGGTAGCCTATTCTATGCCGGAACCACACGTCCAAAGATTTGATTATTTGCGTGTAATGGATGAACTTAAAAAATTCAAAACAATTTTTGTTTCTCACTTATAGTATATATTATCAATATACTGTTACTTGTGGCAATATACACATAATAAAGTGCAATGTAATATTATCTGTGCCCCATTTATGTAGAATCTCGCCACATTGGATGTCCACATCATATGGTTGTTTTCTGCAAAACCAACTCCAATTATATTTTGCTAGGTCAATCACCATTTAGTTCTCTAGTTCTCTGTTACTTTACTAGTAAAAATAGTAGCGAGGACATGGCTACTGTGCCGTTTTCATCTATTTAAAAATATATTATATAATACTTTTTACTATTATAAAATATTTAATTATGGTATTGTTTACACTATTTTCTTTTTTCCGTAGGTGTCGTATTGATATATATGAGAGGAATAAGGAAACTTAATGGTCGAGGGACGGGCAGCATTGTCCTTCTTAAAACATCATCAAAGGCAAACTGCGGTTACCAACTCGCCTACCAAGTTTAGCGACTACTAACAAAACCCCTTTATAGAGTAGGCCTATGTTCAGCAGTGGACAGTTAACGGCTGAAATAATAATGATGCATCATTTTACCTATGATACTTTTAAGGTACCCAATTGAAATTTAAATTGCTAAATCTTAACGATTGCTTACCTGACTCCAGCATCATTGCAACGTCTAACCATATTGGCGAACTGTTGTTCATTGCCAGATCGAGTTAAAAGCCTGTATGATATTGGCTGGTAGCGTTCCCACCATGGTCGATTGTGACTCCAAATAGCCAAGTTCTCATTAGGAGGTGATACCTATACAATCATTAAAATCCAAATAATACGCGTATAAAAAATATAAGTTTATAACGATGGGTGGATGTTTATTACTCTTTCACGCAAAAACTACTAAACGAATTGAATTAAGATTTGGTACACGGATAGTTTATATTCTAACTTAGCACAGAGTATACTTTATATACTGACTTACGCGAGTAAAGACGCGTGGTACAGCTAGTAGAACCTAAAAATTTTTATAATTAAATAAAATTCAAAGCAAAGTATTTATTTAAATTTAAATGTATAAAAGAATAAGTAATGCAAACCCTAAAAGTAGTTTGTTCATAATCAGGTACTAAATCTACGAGTATACCAGCTATTTTTATTACACCTCTTTTATTAAAAAAATAGATATTTTTCATAAATTCAAGCTCAGTCATAGGAAAATAAACTTTATTATAGTACAATGATATTTTTAAAATTCACTACATTGGGTTGTCCATATATTTATATAAAAATTAGTTCTATGTAATAAATACATGTGGGCGAAAGGACTGTAAGCTGGTATGGAAACACGGTGTCTTTAAAAGGTATTATTATTATAAATATGGTATATACATACAAAGCAAAAAGAAGTTAAGAAACAAAATATGACAATTCAAATGAAAAACAGATTTTTTGATATATAAAAAAGGAATCAAAAAGGTTCATCGTGCACAACATAAAACAAAATTTTCTCATTAAGGTGTACTTATAAGGAATTTTATTAATAGTATTATATTGTGTATGTACCAGAGGGAGACTTTGTACAAAAGTCGATTGCTTGGGTACCTCTGTCCCATTCGTGTTTCAACCGTGAAGCAATTGTATTTGCATGTCTGTGTCTCGGTTTGAAGGGTGGGATATGGCGTTAATTTACAGGGTACAGAGGAATAACATCTGAGTCCTCGGAAATGGCAACGCATAGGGGGTATCATGGGCGAAACAGTATACTCTGTTATGTCCATGGTACTACTCATGTCTATAGGCGACGGTTACCACTTTCCATCAGGTGGGCTGTCAGCTTGTTTGCCATTCTAAATTATATAAAAAAAAGTACAGAGTTATACCTGAATACCACCAAAGCCATTAGGGCCAAGAAATCTCTCACATTCAGCCGCTATGTCATCCCATTTCCATTCAAACAGATGCACCATCGTAGTTCGGCCTGGCGCATAATGTGGGTTGAAATAGGCCAAACTTAGACTCGCCAAATGTAAAATAAGGGTTAACCGCAACATCCTGTATACAAATTAGCTATTAGTTCTAGATATTTTTATATATTTTTCTTATAGGTTATTTTTTACTTAATTATATTTAATTTATATTTATATATATATATATATATATAGCTTATATATATATATATATATATATATATATATATATATATATATATATATATATATATATATATATATATATATATATATATATATATATATATATATATATATATATATATATATATATATATATATATATATATATATATATATATATATATATATATATATATATATATATATATTATCTTTATTTTCAGACATCTAGTTTCTTTTTTTTTTTTTATATGTTTAAAATTAAAATTTAGCATCATTAAAAATAAGGAAATTCTAAATTTGACCATATTTTTATGTGTATGTCACGCTTTCAATGCAAAACTGATTAATAATTTTACTTTCATTGAATACCATATCAATTTAGTTATAATTAAAGTCATTTTTCTTTTTTTGTGGAACTAAATCTCATTTTTGTAATTCCAAAAAATTTTTGTTCAAAATTGTTAATGCCATAAATCAGTTTAGAATTCCTATTAAAATCAAACTGAATTTTTCTTCACAATTAAAATAATAGTACAATACTTAACTATAAATAATTCGTAATCACAAAAACTAGGTCGAATTTCCATATAATTTTGGTTATAATTTATAAGTACTGTTTTTTTTATTTGGTGATTTGTACATACTGAGTACAAACAGAATAAAATGCTGAGTCACATAAAAACCGAACATTTCTACCGACATGATTCTTAATTAAAATGAAAAAATGTACACGCCTGTATGCAAACTGAATACTGGACTCATTTAATATGATTAAAACCTGTATACAATACTGTATTCTGAAAATAAATGATTACTTGTTTACGCAAACCATATGAAACAATAAAGAAAATAAAATCTTCATCATCATGAAGGTTTAATTTTTTTAACTACTAATAGACTTAAGTGCTTTTTAATATAATTTGGAGCGGAAACTTAACTGATACCCCGCTTGGTGAGAAATAGAATTTAAAAAAAAGCAGAGAAACAAAAATCACTCTAATACAATTTCACTGAGAAGCACTTACTGAGCTAATTAACTAAAGGTACCTTAGTCGAATATAAACACATGAAGTCCTAAAAAAATGTTTTAAAGGAATAATTACGTCAGAAAAAGTAAATTGTGTTCCACAGTCAATATCTATTTTCGGTGAATAAAATTGTAAGTTTTCAATGATAAAAGAATTAAACATTACAGTCGAATTTAGAACCTCTTTGCCTAATATATACATATATACCAAAAATTGACTCAAATCTAAATTTTTCTTCGTCTTAAAGACGGTTGTAAATTATAATATTACTTTCTTTAATAATGTATAGTTAACGTGCACTCCTATCAATGGTATTGATGACAAGCAATTTTTAATTTATCACATTCGAATTAAAGTATTTATATTTATATTCATTAACAAATTAATATAAATATAAACACAAACTTACCTTATTAATAATAAACAATTTCTCAGAGCTGATGTAATTTTTCCATGAACTAATAAAATAATGATTAATCAAGACCACCAACTGTCAATGTGCTTATATATTTCTGATAAAATTCTTAATACATGTTGATAGGTGGTATTTATCACCTCATTACGTATAATACGGAACCTGATTAACGACTCATTCTATACAAAATAAAAAACAACTGATTCTTGTGTTACTAACTTAAAACTAATCCATTCAGTACTTACGTACTTTAGGGGGAAAGGGATTGTTAGTAATGGAGACTGAGAATCCCATTGCTAGCAATATACTCAACCAGGTCGACCTCATCGCGGTTCTTCCTGGAAACTATCATGGTTAATTCCTGATGAATTCATCATGATGGGCTAACTGGCCTGTTTTTATTCTCATCTATCACCCTTCACTGGTGCTGCGCCAGCGTATTCCGTCAGCGCAGGCAGGGTTACCATACCATTTTCACCCATCAAAAAAAAAAAGTACTTACGTACTTACATGGCATATTTTGTGAAGTATAGTATTATAGTTTATGACAAAAACAATAACTAAACGAAATTAGTAACAAATCTAAACAGCAAATCAATTAATTGATTTTTTTATAGATACTATTATAAGACATCAACAGACTGTCTTATGGGTAATTGAATTCATATTTGTTTACTTTTTTATTAAGTTTTGTTGAAACTATAGTCAAATAAGTGTCATGACTCTAGAAAAAGAAGTAATTATTAAATGATCTAAAATTGAAAACAGAAAAACGATATGATATTTTTTTTTACATCGCGATATCAGAAAACAAGCATACAGCCCGTATGATGACAAATAATCACAGTAGCCTATAGCTGCCTGCAACACTATAGATGCCACGTGCATGTTGCTAACTTCAAAGAAACCTTAATACCTATTTTGAAGAATTTCATATTGTAATCTCAAGAGATAGAGCTCACTCCACAACCTGAGCGTTCGCGGGAGAAAACTCATCTGAAACTGTGCGCGTCCATTTAAATTCTAACGTGTAAGGTTAATTTTCAATTCTGTAAATCTACAAATTTCAATTCAAACTTTCAAAGTAAAACTCTCTATATGTTATTTGCTCCAGTCAGTTTTGAATTTTCAATTCGTTATTAAACCATGTTCTACTACACAAAAATGTTAATTATGGTAAACCCAGTTATTTTAATTTAAAAACTAAACTACTCAACTGACTTTGATAAAATTGATACAGGATCAATTTGTAAGTGTATTCCAAAAGATAATAAATGAATTTTTAAAATCGGTTTTACAACTTACAGAGTAATAAAGTAACAAAAATAAAACATATACAACCGAATAGAGTACCTACTTCTTTTTGGAGTCGGTTAAACATTACATTTCTTCTCACAGTAATAGTTATTGTTTCATGATAGTAATAAACCTATAAAATTTATTACCAGCCGATGCTGCGGCAATATATCTACCAATGCGTAGGTAGTCTTATACCTAATATCGTAGACATGAGCATTAAGACAGGATTTCCAAAGAAATTCTGCGAAAACAGGAATGAACGAATTCATTCCCATTACTATAGAAATTTCGAGAAATCTTTTATCATCCAAAGTACCGTACTGATTTTCGAATACGTTTTCTGTCAGTCATACTGAGTTTTATCTCAAATATAAGCTTAGAGAATAGACAAAAACAATATATATACATATTTTCGAAAAGCTTTAACAGAGGGGGCGTTGCTATAAAGAAGGTCAGGTATTTTTTTTTAGGTAAACAAATTTGTAATGACAATATTAGTTCTCGTACAAGTTTAGGTTCTTACGACGTCATATGTAGTTCTGTAAGTTTTATTGTTATAGATTTATTACATGTAAGTAGTGATGTGCTGTGTAAGGTCAACTCGAGTATTGACTCGATTATCTATTAGGTACTCAGATGCTTGAGTACTTATATAAGGAATTTGGATACACTTTACTTAAAAAAGGGGAAAAGAGGTCTCTTCAGTGTCATCAATGCGAACATAATGGCCCGGCTATTGCAGGTGTTCATAGGCTACGGTAACCGCTCACCATCAGATGGGCTGTATGCTTATTTATCACCTCGATGGTATAAAAAACAAACTTGAATATACGATTCGGACTTGTGGCACTCAAATAGTAGTCGCATGCTTATTATAAGTTTTTGCTTTCGCTTCCTGATTTTATTATTTTCCCCTTAGTAACCGAAGCCAAAATTATTAAATAAATATCTTTATTAAATATAAACTCAAGAAAACAACTGAAAAAATACTGGAGTCTAATGAAGTTTTCGAGTCTTTAAACTCAAGTCAGATCCATTCAATTTTGATAATATTTGATTCTTTTTTTTTAAGTAAACAAAATACTCGAATACGGAAAAACGCCTACTCAACACATCATTAGATGTAGCAGCCCTGGTTGTATGACGCCATATGTCGAGACAATAGCGACATTTCTAGCGACATTAAAGGTGATGGCCCAGTATGAGTTCATCTACTGCGATTTATATTCTGTTAATATAACCATATTAGACAGTAACTGGAAGTACTACACACTCGTTGTCCATTTTACTGTTATTATAATAGTAACAGCTAACCCAGAAAATATTGTTTTCTTTTTATTTTATTAGGTATACGCAACAGGTAACAATCAATAAAACTAAAAACATTTATAGGAAAACAATGGTATGAACTAGATTGAGACCCAGACAGGTGTACATCCAGAATAGATAAAGCAGTTGGCAAACTATATTAAAATATTAATTATTTTGATATTATTGTACCCTTGGACATTCTATAGTTTACTTTCAGCTTCTCAAATGTTTACTGTAAGAGATTCCTCCATGAGATAAGTCCGCCATTGTATATTAAATCTTTTAATGCGTCCATTGTAAATTATGTACAATAAAGATTTTACAATAGGCTACAATATTATAGAAAGGGTGTAAACATAGTAAATAACAAGGAACAAACAAAATGCAAATTACGAAACTACATAAAACATATCAAAGAGATTCGACGGCTGTTTATAAAACATTTTTGGATGCATTCAGTGGCAAGTTGAAGATATCAATTTGAGGATATTTAGCGCATTGCCTCCTAATGGATCCATTTTCTTATTTTATTAAAAACTATTATATCAAGTTATCTCAAGTTAGTCCAACTAATAGACACAAAAAATTTGCATAAACTAACAAGTGATTTTTATATAGATATAAAGATAGATAGATAAATGATTTATTTGCAATACTTATAACACACAAATAACAACAGATATATACATAAGAAAAGAAATATAGGAATATATATACAAAAAACAAACAAAAGAAAAATCCATAAAAGAAATAACGTAAGAGATACTTGATATACTAAATAAAATACTTGATATATTAACTGGAATACTTTTATTAACTGGGATAAAGAGTAGCTTATATCCCTTCTCATTTAGCATATATTTACCAAATTGTATAATGATTGGTCGAGCCGTTAAGATGCTAAAAAATAGGAAACAAACGAATAAAGAAACAAAGTCACCATCTGCAGTGTCAGCTAAGTCGGATAATGCTCGACTGCAATTCAGGGATCCCAAGGTCAATCCCAAGCAAAACCTTATATATATATATATATATATATATATATATATATATATATATATATATATATATATATATATATACCACAAAAAAAAAAACTTTAATTACTGTGATTTAAAAACTGAACTACCGACTTTATAAAAATTTCTATCATTTCGGATAAAAAAAAAATTCGAAAGGTAACAAATATAAAAAATACAACCGAATTGTAAACCTCCTTCTTTTTTAAGAAAGTTTAAAATTATTATCACTTGCTTCGTGTTTCACCATGGTCCGGTGGGACACGTCAGCAGCCTTCGTGCGTAACAGAAACGACCCAAAAACACTTCACATCTGATGACTACACCCACAGAAAAGGAGTAAATAGTACTTATACATATACATTCATGTGTGCAGTAGTAGGTACGTGGGCTCTTTCAAGTTTTCAACCACTGGAATATTCCAATCAGGATTTGTCATAATATGTACAGTAAATCGAAACGATTGATAATATAACGAACCCTCTAAGAGATTCCATGATGCAGGATTTACGCGCAGTATTTCCAGAATAAAGTTTAAATTCATTATAGAATGTATTCTCACACAGAAATGTATTTTAATAAAAAAAAACTATTCTCTAAACACTCTTAGCGTTGCCTTATATAAAAAAAATATTTGTATATTTCGTTGTATATCTAACATTCCATCGAAAGTCTCAAATCTCAATCACATATTTTAATTTTACGTACAAACTGTGCGGTAACGTAATCGATTTAATACGGCAACTTCAAAAATATTTCGAGTCTTCGACTATGTTGTTTGAGGAACGTTGATAAATTTTATCTTTTACGAATCTATAAAGTTTTTACTGCAGACCGGGTCTCTTGTATTATATCGAAAGGCAGTTCATTGAATATCAAACAGAATTGGCGTGAATTTACAGATGAAAGATCAATAATGACAAATCGTTATGTCCATGTCTATAGGCGACGGTTACCACTTTCTATCAGGTGGGCTTATCAAATTGTCACTGACAGTCAAAATATCTTGTTTTGTTTTATGCAATTTAGAATTCGCAGTGTATGCCTCGGCACAGAATGGGCCACCCCTACCTTTCCCGTAGGTATCGTAAGAGGCGACTAAGAGAGGGCGAGGGATGGGCAGCAGCGTCTCTCTTATAACATCTCTAAAAGCCTAACTGCGGTTGCTAACCCGCCTGCTAAGCGTGGCAATTATTGGCAAAATTCCTTTATGCGAAAACCTTATGTCCTGTAGTGGACAGTTAACGGCTGAAATAATAATAAAAAATTTAGAATAGCAGTCAAGCTGACAATCTATATAATGGACAATAGACATTAATAATAACATAATTGTAACGTCTATGACATTACAATATATTGTGACACCCATAATAGCCAGAGGAAAGGGTTTGTTATATATGAGGTCTAACAGCCCCATTGCTAGCAATAAACCATCTCAGGTCGACCTCCACGCGGTTCCCCTTAGAAACCATCATAGTTAATTTTTGTTGAATTCATCATGTTGGGCCAACTGACCTGCATTCATTCTCACTTATCACCTTCCACTGGTGCAACCCGAAGTACAAAAATAGCACGGGCGGGGTTGCCATTCCATTTTCACCCTTAAAAAAAACACTTGATAGCCGAGGACTATGGCCATCATATTCTTTATTTAGTTTACAATTGTTCATTGTTTCACAATATCGAATCCTCATTTTGTATCAAATCTCCCCAGGTAAAATTGTCGTTACAAGTTTCAAAATTCAGGATTAACAATAAATGGATCATGAATTAATATAAAAATTTATTAATTGTTAATTTATAATGCGTTTATTTTGTTATGATATTCATTATCATTTTGCTGATATGGTAGTAACAAAATTTTCCAGTTTATATCATGTGATATCCAGTCATCGTGCTTGAAGAGAAGACTGAAACAAAATAACGTAATTGTTATTATATTATCAAATAAAGTAAACTTTTTATGAATTATCTATCTATATATTGATTGAATGAATATACTTTATTTACATTATACAATATAGGGAATAAGTAAGGCAATAAATGTAGTCATATAGTTGTATAAATACAATAAGGCGGTCTTATTGCTCAAAGCAAACTTTTCAAGATAACCTCAGGGTAATATTATGTATGTATTAAGAAAATCTTTAGATCTGTCTTGCGAGTTTTCAATCTAGAGGATTTGGGATTTTATGACAAAATACTTGTATTTTAAAGTTTAATGTCGTACTACGTGCAATGCAGCTGCTCTGTCCCTGCTCCTCTCTTAAGATATTCCCATACCCCCTTTCTGTGACTATAATAGGACTACTCGAAAAGTAATCACTATAACTAATAACAGCCATAATAAAGCTATCTTGTATTATATTCTTTACGAAGTAAAAAAATAATGATAAAAAAATAATAATAAATAAATAATAATAAAAAAATTATGTTTTATATATACTAAATAATAAATTTAATAAATAATAATTACTTGGACAACGATAAAAAAAAGTAATTGAAAAATTTAGTTCTGATCAAAAACAGTATTATTATGTAAATCTAATAATGTAATAATAAAATTAGTACTGGCAGCTAATGATAATACTTAAAAATAAAATCACAAACATGATTTGATTGCAAAATCACTATCTGTGTTATCATAAACTCACTTATCTGATAGCTCCTCTTTTTGTATTAACACTTATCTATGTAATAATAATATTAATTAATAAATTTGTAATATAGGCCTTGATAAAAAACTCCTCATTAACCATGTTATTAGGAGAGATTCATTTAATTTTCCATAATCGAACATGAAAATATCTGTAATTATATCTATTATCCTTACTAGTATTATAAATATGGTGAGTTTGTTTGTTTATTACCTGTCAGCGCCTTAATAGCTTAAACGCTTAGTATGAAATTTGGTATACTCGTACATTACTATATAGGATGCTTACTACTCTTAATCCCGGTTAGCGAACATATCGCGGTCACTCAGACGAAGTTGCTGGTGAAAACCAGTTAAATTATATTAATTTAAACCTACAATGTTGATACAATGCTCACAACACGAAGCTTTAACAATACTAATTTCATTTAGAGAGTATTTCAAATTGTCAGTATACTAGTATATAGACAATATCTAGTTCCCACTAACAACCACCTCTCTTTCTTCATCCTAACGATTACCAGTTTCCTTTGAAATCACGCTGATGTCTAAGATGTTACACGCAAACTTAGATAATGCCTATTCTCTAGGTGGAAAGAGATTTTTATTAATTGGGTCTAACTGACCCATTGCTAGCAATACACCCTATGAAGTCAACCACCACGCGGTTCCCCCTGGAAACCATCGTGGTTAATTTTAGTAGAATTGGTCACGATGAGCTAACATCACCTATCATCCCTCACTGGTGCCCCGCCAGTGTATGCCGATAGCGCGGGCTGGGTTACCATTATCACCCATTAAAAAATGCATTTTCACTCTCGCTGTGAAAGACAGAAGAAGAAAAAGACTTAAATAGATTTATAGGAATCTGGAAACACAGTAGCCGAAACAAAACATCATTTCTTAACTGTTCATATATGATAACATAAATTCATACCTCTCTCCCAATATGTATAGCCAAATGCATATCTTCAGCGTTCCCAGGTAAATTTATACTGGCATAACCATCCTTACGAACTGTCACTTTGCCCCCCGTGCACGAGTTACCTCGTCTCTTGCCTGTTATCACGTCACAATAATTGCCAGGAGGTAGACCAGTCTAGAATGTGATAAGAAATTTAATAAAATATTTATAAAGTACTAGCAATTTCTGCGACTGATTAAATTAATACTCTAAGCAGCTGTGTATAATTGACTGTCTCGGTTTCAAAAGTGTATGGCAATCAAATTACAGAGTATAAAGCCATAACTCTTACTCAGAGAAGGTTAGATATGAGGGATACCTACCATGAACGACACAATCAATTTTATAATAGATCCATGGTGCTGTTCACGTCTATAGGCGACGGTTAACACTTTTCACTCAACAACTTATTTGCTATTATGTTTATATGGAAATAGCTGATTATTATATATACACAATACATATTATTAACTTATTCGATTACTTATAAATAGGCGTAATCTATTTACAAAATATTCTAAATGCCGAATGCAAATAAAGCAAATATAAATTAAAAGACATTTTCACTAGGCTTGGTGCCTCTGTTGAAAAGCAGCATGTCATCTATCTACGTACATACACCAGTTTTTATCAGATAACCAAAATATTTTTAACTACTAAACAAATTTTAGACAATTAATGTATTAATTAATAGCTGTTACCCGCGAGTTTGCATGTGTGGTGTTGTATTTTCCCTCTAAGTTAAAATTAACAATAATCCTTTCTAAGCGGACAAAATAAAACTATGTTCCAAATATCAACTTTCTAGACTTAGTAGTTTTCACTGTGCTTTGATAGTTAGGACAAATGATTTAATAAGTATACCATACATTTAATATTGATTCTTTAAATGAATAATAAAAAGACACTTCATTTGATGTCAAACTAGTCAATTTCAGTATACATTTTTTGTACTATTTTTTTTTTTTACATCACAGGGTGCAAACGAGCATGTGGCACACCTGGTGGTAAGTGACTACCGCCGCTCATGATCACCCACAACACTAATGGCATTGCAGGTGTGCTGCCGCCATTAGGATTATTAGTATTATTTTATTATATTTATATGAACTGTTAACTGTCCACTGGTTTGCCAGTAGTTGTCATGCTTGGCAAACGAATTAGCAACCGTAGTTAGACTTTGGTGATATTTTAAAAAGAACGTTGCTATCCTCGACTATTTAGTTTCCTTAGTCGCTACTTACGATACCCAAAGGAAAGAAAGGGGTGGCCCTTTCTATGCCGGGACTACAGAGCATATTGGCATTATTAGTATATTACAGAGAAATTACAGAAAAAAGTTCCATTACAGTTCTCAGAAATTGCAACGCATATGGACCGGCACAGTATATTGACAGAATACATCGTGCCCGCCCTGCTATATATATATATATATATATATATATATATATATATATATATATATATATATATATATATATATATATATATATATATATATATCCATGATGCTGTTCATATCTATAGACGACGGTTACTACTTTCCATAAGGTGGACCGGCCGTCAGCACGTTTGACGTTCCTATTAAATTCACATTCATGTCCCCGCATAAAAAAGATCCATTCGATAAATTTACACTCAGTATTATACGAGTAGATTACCTGTAACGTTTCATTCAACTTTCTCCCTTCCACGTTGAAAGCGATAAACCCTTTATTGCCTCTGCTGAATGCAATCTGATTATGGCCATTATCCCACCAATTCCGTATCGTTTCCTTTCCAACTGCATTCCTGAATGCCACCATATGATATATTTGACGCCATCTGTGTTCGCAGACCCAACCGTTTCCACATGTGTCATCCTGATAAAAGAAATATAAACTTAGTAAAATAATTACCTCAAAATAATAAAATTTATTAATTTATTACAATTTTGTGAAGCACTTATATTATGCTATAGTCATGTTACATAGATAGATACTCTTTATTGTTTCCTCCAAAAGATTACAGTAGTAAAGTTATTACAAACAATTGCAAGAAATAATCATAGTGAGAAAATAATGGGTGACCTTATCGCTTAAAGCGATCTCTTCCAGGCAATATTTGAATGGAGAGGCGAAAGTATACTATTAATAAACTATTGTATAACGACTTAATAATATCATGTAAACCTAAGTTAATATATAATTACAAATAAGTGGAAGGTACATAAATAAGCACTACTGCGAAACTACTTAGTGTACAATTACTTTCTAATGATAGACTTCTTGAAAAACTGCATTGTTTATTTGGTCTAATTATAGGCTTCTGGAGACCTATTAGAGACAAAGTAAGAAATATCGTATATACAGTGCTTACCGTCAAGTGGGCTGTGTGTAAAAAAGTGCATGTGATACTGTATCGAAAATGTCGAAATAATAATTAACAAATAGGTTACACAAACTTTAAAAAATTACTTCCATATATATGTAAAAATACTGTATAATGATAGCCATCATATTAGGCTTTAACTGTCCACTGCTGAACATTCCTCCCCTTTACGAGGTTATGCCACACTTGGCAGGCAGACTGGCAACCGCAGTTAGGCTTTAGAGATGTTTTAAGAGGGACGCTGCTGTCTATCCCTCGTCCTCCCTTAGTCGTCTCTTACGACACCCACGAGAAAGGAGGGGATGGCCTTTTCTATGCTAAGACCACACAGCCGCGGCCATAATACTAGTATATAATATACAGCCTTATAAAGTATAAAAGTTAGTGGGTATTTGCATAAGATGACGAAGTTAGAATGCATTCACACCATTGTTTTCATACGAATAATCACGATAACGTTAGTCTAGGTACAAGTCGAGGAAAAGTTGTAATCCATTATTTTTATTGTAAACAATTTATAAGTATATAACTACACTTAATTCTTTTAGAAATTTATATTTCTTTGATATCAATAATGCTATTCGAGTCTACAGTCACCTTGTTTGTCATTTATATCAGTAATAATATTAGCACATAATCGTATTTAAAGACTACTATGTGAATTAAAAAATAGAATAAAATATATAAAGATAGTGCTTACAGTTGATTTAATTAAAGCATCCAAATAGATTATTAATATTAAAAAAGTCTATATTTATATTCTTAAAAGCTTCTTACTTTGAATGGATTTAATCTTTCAATGGACCAATTCCTAATTATTACACTTGACTTGCCTTAAAATATTAGTAGAAATATAATAAAAACTAATAATATTCAGCATTTGGAAATTACATTCGGTATAAATTTTAAATATATAGACAAACTATATTTTTTTCCAAACTAGCTTTTACCCGCAACTTCGTTCGTATGACCGACATTTGTTCATTGATCGATCAAAAATAGTATCCTAAGTCCTTCTACATACCACATAGTATATGTGTACTAATTTCCATATGGATTGGATGAGCCATTAGGATGTTAAAAAATTACAGAAAAAAAACATTAAATCAAACTTTCACATTTATAATATTAAAAAAATATTATAGGATTCATTGGAAAAATAAAAAAAAAATACCAAAAACCAATCAGATGCCACGTCTCGAGTTCAAAAAAGATAGATTAGATTATATATTATTTAATTAGATATTATTTAATTCCTAACTACAGCTCTTGGTCCAATTTAATGATAGCTGCCAGGGCAGACAGAGTAGGAGGGAAAGGATTGTTAGTGAAGGCCCCATTGCTAGCAATATAAGTCAGTTCGACCTCCACGCGGTTCTCTCTGAAAACTGTCCTGGTTAATTTTTACTAAATTCGTCACGATGGGCCAACTGATCTGTTTCTATCCATACCTATCATCTTACATTTATGCCCCGTCAGTGTATACCAATAATACAAGCGGGGTTATCATTCCATAAAGAAAAGACTAGAGAAGGTTCTTTTATTGAAACTCTAGCCCCCTCATATGGGAAGAAAGGTATTGTTAATAGTGAGATTTAACAACCTCATTGCTAGCAATACACCCTATCAGGTCGACCACCACGCGGTTCCCCCTGGAAACCATAGTGGTTAATTCTTGTTCAATTGGTCACTATGGGCCAACTGACCTGCCATCACCCTCACCTGTCACCCTTCACTGGTGCCCCGTCAGTGTATGGTATACCGATAGCGTAGGCAGGGTTACCATTCCATTATTACCCATAAAAGCCCCCTAATATGCATATAACTAAAAATGGCAAACAAGCTGACGACCTAACTGAACAGTACCATAGGCAATACCATAGAAATTAACAAAAACTAAGTAAGGAACATTTAATATTTATTAGGTACATTTTACGACCATTTGTAGTCATCAGTAAAGATCACAGAACTCTACATTCATACTCGTAACTCTCATAAATTCCTTTACGGTACCATTAATACACTCACAGATAATGTATACGTGTTCAAAAATATATTAATATAACTATAGATAGTTACAGACATAATATATTTAAAACATGATTAAAACCGACGTGGCGATGTGGCGTGAATTTACACGGTACAGAGGAATAACACCTGAGTCCTCAAGAATGGCATTGCATGGGGGGTATCATGGGCGAAACAGTATACTCTGTTCTGTTCATGAATTTGTTCATGTATATAGGCGACGGTTACCAATTTCAGTCACGAGGGCCGTCAGCTTATTTGCCATTCTAAGTTGTATAAAAAAAATATAACACATAAATATATATTATTTATATATATGAATAATATTACAATATGTATATATCTAAATATATGTTATCTATTTTATATATTTATTTATGAACTATTATAAGTACTGTATTTTGATTTGTACTGCGCTATTAGCATCAGCAGACTTTGTTTATATTATATATATATATTGTAAGAGACAACTAAAGGAATTTCATGATTTAGGGTTGAACAGCAGCGTTCCCCTTAAAACTTCAGCAAAGCCTAACTGCGGTTGGCAACCCGCCTAACAAGAATAGTAACTATTAGCACAACCGCTCCAAGGAAGAGGCCTATGTTCATCAGTGGACAATCAACGGTTGAGGTGATGATATATCTATTAATAATTTTAAATTTACATGTACCTTATTAATGCTTGGAGATATTATATTTTCACTGCTATCACTTGGTGGTCCTTGATCGCTATTATTGAAGAAATAGCTGCTCATCAAACGAGGTTCACCGTATGGATGTGCCAGCATGAATGCTATAGCGGCCTGTTAAAATAATTAGTATAATTTTAAAATTAAAATAAAGTTAGGTATTTATATATATTTATATATATATATATATAAATATCCACCAACGTATATAATAATATTACTATTATTAACATCAATTGTAAGTTAAAAAAAAATCTTACATAATATTAATGTATTTAGCATTAATCTACGTGATTTTCCAATAGAATATGTTTCCTGTGAATTTTTATACCAAATGATATATCACTCCGAAATTTAGCTATAATACCTATTCGTGAAACAAAACGGCATTCGCCGAGAAAGACATCAAAGCTTTCTCAGTCGTAAGATCATGTGATTTATTTCATTAAAATTCTGCGCGAGCTACAGCCGTATATAACAATTTCTTTATATATACACAGGGTGAAATCGGAGTCGTTAGCCGTACGTGAAACTAAGAATCTACCCATGCTATAGAATGTATTATATACAAGTATCTACACTAATATTTATAAAGAAGAAAAATTTTGTTTGTAATGGATAAAGTCAAAAACTACTCAACCGATTTTAATTCTTTTTCAGCTATAGAAAACTACATTATCAGGAAATAACATATGTTTTTAAATTGTGTACATACAAGTATTTTTAAAAACTATAAATAAATAGTAAAAAAAACTTGTTGGTCAACAATTTAAGATTGTGATCGACAAAAAAAGACTTCAATTATAGCATAACCAATTCCTTTGATTTAAAACTAAACTATTGAACTAATTTTGTTAATTTCTAAAGGATAATCCTGTAAGATCTCAGATAAAAAAAATTATCATCTAAAACAGTTTACAACGGACGCAGTTATGTCGTAACAAGCATAAAGAAATACAGCCGAATGGAGAATCTACTTCTTTTAAAAGTCGGTTGAAATGACTGATTCATGCAAAACATCGACGTCGAAATCTATACCAAGTACAGTTCACACGATTTATGCTGTTAAGTAAGATAGAGAGCTTAAAAATATAAATGTATTTACCTTATACGCTCTTGCTTCCTTATACGTCAGAGCATTACCAGTTCTCTGTGTATCATGGTTGTCTATAAAAGCCAATGCTGAATCACTTGGTAATAATTCCCATTGTTCCCCCCAAGATACAAGCCATTTGAGCGGGTTATTACCGCGAAATACATTTCTCAACTCTGCTTCAACCTTTAATTAAAAATAAGGCAACTATAATTAATTTATAATAAGTAGATTGTTGTATTATCCGTTAACCGTCCATTGCTGAACATAGCCTCCTCCTTAAGGAGGATTTGCCAGTAGGTACTACACTTGGCAGGTGGTTTGACAACCGCAGTTAGGCTTTTAGAGATGTTTTAAGAGGGATGCTGCTGCCCATCCCTTTACCATTAAGTTCCCTTATTCGCCTCTTACGACGCCCACAAAAAAGGAAGGGATGGCCTATTCTATGCCGGGACCTAAACGGCGACAAGTAGATTACAGTTGTATAATAATTATTAAAAAACGAATAACGATTAACAATATTAATAAATCGTACCTCACTCTTAAAATATTCATATTTAAATTAAGAAAGTAAAATTCGGAAAATACTATCAATAATATATTAGAAATTTTTGAGCTGAACGAAAGAGATTTTTAAAAATAAATATTAATATATAGTTAAATATAAGTCTTTAATCAGCAGAGATATTAGGTGAAAATACGTGAGCACTGAAGCATATTTAATGGTGCCCATTCCGAAAAGAAAAACTATCTCGAGTCTTCGAAAATAAAACAGTATCTAAGTCCTAAGATTTCCAAATGACATGAGACTCATTCTACAGTCACCACTAAGCTTAGTAGCGTAATAACTTAGTTCACTGCACTTATTATGATCGAGAAACGAGTGTGAACCATTTCTGTTAAATTGGTTTGCAGAGTCAGTGCAATCGTATTACATCGTATTCCGCAGATTCTCTGGTATGAGAAGAGTTTATAAAAAGTAATCAACGAAGAAAAAAAAAGAAATAAATTATAATGAAAAAAATTTGAAATAATTTAATATTTGAATTTGGAACTTTAAATGGTGGAATGTTAAATGTATTTTATTGTTTTCTATTTTTTTTTTTAGAATAGATCAATAAAAAAACAGTAAATACATAATATATAAATAGTCTTAGATCAATAAAATCTGGATAGATTCAGAAAATTATAAAATGGTTGGATTTTTTTAAAATGAAGCAATTTTTTGGATGATACCTACTTTCTTACAATAAATGAAAAACCTGTGAAGTTATAAAATAATTACTTACTCTGAACTCAGTGACATCTCCTAATGATGTATATTCGGAAGGTTTTATGGGTTCATTGCCATAGTATATAACTTCTTGATAAATATACGGCTTTGATTTCGGCGGAAATCCAAAATCTGTATTCAAATTATTTAGCCTATTGTAAATTTCCTTTAAATCACTGGGCCACATGTGTTTTGCAGCGTCAATTCTGTACATAGGTAACTGATTAGATATTATATTTATTACCTTCATAATTCATATCCCACTGTTGAACACGAGTTACTTTTTATAAAAGAATCTAGCACACTATTACAACGTTAGCTAAGCGGTTTGACAAAAGGTTTCATTTTGAGTTTGCCTTCTTTGCAACGATTGCATTCTTGTTTTTTTTTTTTTTGTTTTCTAGAGACGAAAGTGTGTAATGTCACATTGTATTCTTACTTAATCAACGTCACTACACAGAGTTTTGTTATTTAATTATAAATGTTTGTTAGTTGCAAACGATTTAGTATTACGAACACTAAGAACAAATTACGGCAAAAAGTCTATTGTATATGAAGGTAGACATATGTGTAATGAATTCCTTAGACATATTAAAGAAAGAGTCGTTATTTACTTTTATAAAAATATTAAAACACCATGTTGAAAACAATTTTTAATAAGCTCTAATAATATGTTTGTCTGAATGTTGATTTTGTGTGTATGTATGTATATGTTTAGTATGTATACATATATATAAATATAAATTATATATATATAAATAATATAGTATTTTTATCAATACAATATAAACAATATTAATACCAACTTTTACTACTTATATTATAGCATAACACACAAAAAAAACGTTATTTTCCAGAATATTCGACTAGTTTCGGGACCGGATCCGGAATCCCTAATGATGTTTATTTAAAATATAATGTATACATACAAATCATTTAACAATAAAATGCATCAATGTTAGTTATGTCAAGCAATTTAGGATAATTTACCTGAACCCGGCAACACCAAGCGACTTGACATCATTTAGAAAGTCAGCCAAAAAAAAAGTTTTCTAAATTGGCTGCACAAAAATCGATGACGGGAGCACAAACTAACTTCAGTTATAATAAAATATAAACAATGATTTGTTATTGAAAAACAGAAAACAAAAGCAGTAGTACCAAAAGCTTTACAATAGATACTTATTATGCAATACCTTAAGCCAGCTACTCCAAGTTCTATCAAATTATTTAAGTATTTTGTGATTTTCTGGCGTACGTAGTCCATAGTCTGATTTAAGTCTTTCAGACCAACCAATTGACAATCGCGAACCTGTTATTATTGGTAATATAGTTATTATAAACTCTCTCCTTTGTTCCTTTAGTATAGGCAGGGATAGCAACGACTACACAGATTTGGTATGACGTCTCCTTGCTTCTTCAACTTTTACACTAATTATTTATTACCTACTCGTAACCGCGATTTCCACACGTTAATTAAATTGGCAATTAATTAATATAAAAAGTACTTTAGGATATAGTCTAAGATACGTACCAAAGTTAAATCAGCTGTTCATACTTAACTACGTAACATCTAAACATAAAATCATATTTACAAATTTTCATTTATGATATACGCTGTGCGGGTATTGTAATTTTTGAAATGAAATTCAATATCATTAATTTTATTTTACAATAAAATGTTTTCTTGCATCCATAACTTATGTACATTGTAGTACGAGTATACGTTAATTTAGTTTTTTTTTTTTTTTTCTATGATTTTAATTATCTGCCAGCTACACTGTGGACAGAGGAAAAAAAAGAAAAGACTCAAAGCTACTAGTGAAGTGACGACTAAAATATCTTGCAAAAATCCTAGGTGGTTTAACACTGTTCCTTGGAGTATTCCACTCCCAATATTTTACCTATAACAATTAAAAAATAAATAAAGTAATAATACAAACTTCAGTAACGTTGTTGTAATTATTAATAGCACAAAACGGATGATGGAAGTGCTCTTCTGTATATGGAACGGCTGGATAAGAATACTTCTTGAAGTCAGCAGTGCTACCAGCCGTGCCTATGTTATTAGAATTGTCAGCAGTCATATGGTTGAACACTACGTCTGCATAAATCCTGAAAAGCAAATGCATGGATCAGTGTCTAAGTATATTACTTTTATAACTAAATTAAATTATAACTAGAATATATATGTATATATAATATATTCATTATATAATAATATACGTGAAGATTAATCACAGACAAATTAAATGGTGTAGCAGTTTAACACACAGCCTTATCCTTCTGTGGTCGCTCACAATACAAACATTTACATTCCTGACTATATCTGTTTGTATTGTTCTAGGTTTTTTTCTGTATATAATAAAGTATAATGCATATGTAAATAATAATGTATAATTCATATATAATATATATGCATTTACAAAAATAATTGTATTTAAGTATTCCTATTAATTGTCTAATACCTGTAGTAATAGGTTTGTTTATTTTAGGCCTATACGACACTGTAATATGTCCAGTGATATAAAATCCATAAATTACGTTTAGTATTTTCTTTTGTTTAGTTTTTAGTTTAGTTTCGCCCATGTAGACAATATTAAAAACATCAGCATCATACTACAACGCGTCATACTCGCAGCAAAATCTTTTAATATCTTACTGCAGTTACTGTCCACAAATATCGATCTCACCTTACTCCAACTTTATTGCATCTTCGAGTCATATTCAAGAATTCCTCTCTATTCCCAGATCGTGTTACAAGCTTGTATGACATAACTTGATATCGTTCATACCATGGTCTCGTGTTGTCTTGTAAATGGATGATCACGTTTTCAGATGGTGGAGAGATCTGTTGAAAAATAATAAGTTGTATAAATATATAGTTGTATTATGTAATGTGTACAAAGGAGTAAATTAAAAGAATTACTATGCTGTTTACACCCCAATTAGTGAAGTGTCATCTTACACTGCCCATCTGTACAGACTCGCTATTTGAGACCCTGACTTAGTAGATATTTAGTAACAAAGAGTTTAAAAAAATCATACGATATGATGATATTAAAGGCCCAACTGTTTTCTATGAATAAAAATCGAAGTGTGGGAATTATATTATATTTATAAAAAAAAAAAATGATTTATTGTATTTTTTAACCTTTACATGCAGTATAAGTGAAAAAAAAAAATTACATAGAACATTCTAAGTTGTATAAAAAAAAACCAATGGCATTGTAATAAGAGAAAAAATACATCGCAAGCGCGTTGGAAATGAAGCTCGAAAATGATGTTAGGTAATTTTCTATAAAATTTGCATTCATTTCCAAACAACAGTAACAAACTTATTTATTCTTATTGTTCCAAAAATGCCGACAACCCAGCTGCAATTTCTTTGATGTTGCGAGTGCCTCTGGGCGGTGGTATTCACTTATCATCAAGTTACTTGCTTGCCTCCTATATTATACAAAAGAAATAACTCCATCATTTTCAATTGTTCAACAACATGGTGGAATACCCGTGTGTTTTCGCTGTGTACGGAATATTTTTTTTTCAAATGTTTTCTAAACTTACAACGTATCTTCATTTATAAAATAATTGGCTTACACCTGCGCTAACACTAAAGTACGTACTTGTACGCCGCCAAAGCCATGAGGTGCAAGAAACCTCTCGCACTCATCTGCTATATCTTTCCACTTCCACTCAAATAGGTGGACAATTGTGGACCTATTTGGTAATTGGTTGGTTCTATTATGGTGATCACATTGTGCTATTCTTATCAACAGCGTCAATAATGCTATGATAAACATCTGAAATACATAAAAAATTAAAATTATCCATTCTTTTAATTCTATAAATAATAATTGATTCATCATCATCATATAAGAAGTTAACTGTCCACTGCTGAAGATAGGACTCCCTATTAGGGGGGCTTTTACTCCCTACTAGTTTTTTTTAATGGGTGAAAATGGATTGATAACCCCGCCCGCGCTATCGGTATACACCGACAAGGCACGGGTGGAAGATGATAGGTGAGAATGAATGCAGGTTAGTTGGCCTACCACGATGAATTCGACAAGAATTAAACATGATGGTTTCCAGGGGGAACCACGTGGAGGTCAACCTGAGAGGGTATATTGCTAGTAATGGGGCTATTAGACCCAATTACTAACAATCCCTTTCCCCCCTGACAGGTGGGTTGGCAACCATAGTTAGGCTTTGCTAATGTTATGTAAGAGTAAAAGAGGGACGCTGCTGTTCCCCTTTAATCCCCTTTTAGGACACAAACGGAAAAGGAAGAGATTCTCCATTCTATGCCGGGAACATACGGCACACAGTAATTGATAGATAGATAGATAGATAGATAGATACTCTTTATTGTTTCCTCCAAAAGATTATAATAGTAAACTTATTATAAATATAAATAATTACAAGATTGATTACATTTATTAAGTTTAAAAATTGGAATTGGTAGATTTTTAAAGAAAAATCAGGTTTTTTTTATGGATGAAAATGGTATGGTAACCCCGCCTGCGCTCACTGGGGGGACAGAGATTGTTAGTAGTGGGATCCAACAGACCCATTACTAGCAATATACCCTAACAGGTCGACCTCCACGTGGTTCCCCCTGGAAACCATAGTGATTAATTTTTGATGAATTCATCACGATGGGCCAACTGTCCTGCCTTTTCATCCTCACCAATCATCCCCCACTGGTGCCCCGCCAGCGTATCCCGATAGCGCAGGTGGGGTGACCATTCCATTTACATCCATTAAAAAAAAAAACCCCGCCTGCGCTAACGGTATACGCTTGCGGAGCACCAATAAAGGGTGATAAATGAAAATGAAAACAGGCCAGTTAGCCCATCATGATGAATTCATCAAGAATTAACTATGATAATTTCCAGGAAGAACCGCGAGGAGGTCGACCTGGTTGGGTATATTGCTAACAATGGGATTCTCAGTCTCCATTACTAACAATCCCTTTCCCCCCAGAAAAGTCAGGTAGACGGTGTAAATATCTTCCGAAAACTCAATCTAGTAGGAAAATATTAAATTTCTATTTTTTTTTATTAACTAGCTTTTTGTCCGCTACGTACGCGTGCGTGGATTTCAAAAGTATGAAAACCAATAAAGTAAATCACTTCTAAATAGCGTAACACTAATATGAAAACAGTTTTATGATGATCGTGATCCAGAAACAAAAATACTAACAAACTGATTATTGTTTTGGATTCTATTGCTTTTTTTATACAAATTAGAATAGTAAACAAGCTGACGGCCCACCTGACTGAAAGAGATAACCGTCGTTTATAGACATGAACGGTACCATAGACAACAGAGTATACTGTATCATTCATGATACCCTTTATGCTTTGCCATTTCTAAGGACTAAGATGCCTCTGTACCCTGTAATTTCATTGCCATAGTCCTTCAAACCGAAATAGCCATGCAAGTACAACTATTTCACGGCAGAGAAACAAATGGGACAGAGGCACCCAAGTAGACGCCTTTTGTGCAGACTCCCTCTGGCTCTTATTAAGACCCCCTATATATCCCATGTACAGACATCATCCAGTTAAAAATTTATTATATTAGTAAGATTTAAGAATCCCAGTTGCATTAAACATACTTGCAAATTTGTACAGTATTCTACATTATTTAGACTGATAAAACGTGATACAAAAGGTAAGTATAATGCTAATAGCATCTTCTATCAGCCAAGCTAGTCAGTGTTTGTTTAATAAATACTTGTAATGTACAATTTGTTAGTTAATTAGCAACTTATATTTATATTGAAATTCCTGGCTCATAAAAAATAATGGCGATATCCTCCGGTATGGATGTTAGATTTGATATTAACGACTCGATTCCAATATTCCGATACTCGCTTCCATATAATCAGTATAATTTCAACCCTAACATGCAATTCACGTCAATTTTTTCCTAATTGTATAGCGGGGAAAATAAATTTTATAGACATCCGATTACACCAATAGGTAGGCAGAAGGCACTTTATTGCTTCTACCTAATTACTTTCCTTATCGTAGGTGCATTATCAAAACTAATACGTACGAATACTAGCATGCTTTAATGTTTTTAGGGTTAACGTCCTAATATGACTAAAGTATGAGTATTTTTAACAACGCATAAGTGATACCATGTGCGTCATAGCGTATTCTATGATGTCCATTGTGCTCTATATCTTTATAGGCGACATGTACCATTTTCTATCAAGTGGGTCATAGCTATCAGTTCTATTACTATTATAAATTAAATTAGATATCTAGAATAGCAATAGACACAATATTTTATGGTTATTTGTTTTATGGAACACGGAATAATAAATACCTAGCCCCTAAATGGGGCTTAATAATATTAAGCTTAATAAATACAATCCAAGTCCGTAAAGTCACACTTACTCTATCTAGATATAAAAAAAATCTTGTTACAACACTCTAAATATTGTTAATCTTAATCGAAAGCCACTTCTTTTTAATTTAAATTGTGTACTTAATAAATGCGTTTAAACTAGACGACAACAGCAATAAATACTGACTACAGGGTTGCCAGATATTAATTTTATTTTTATCCAAATGTAAATTTTTCCTGGTTATTTCATTACAATTATTTCTTGTAATTCCGCTGCCATTAGTATGTGTGTGACTGCCAACATTCGAAGATCAGCCATTTTTATTACGATGAATCGATAGGTCGCTTCTCGCTCGATCGCAAATTGATAGGTCGCTTCTCGGAGTCTAGTGTTTACCGTTAGGTGCTCAAACTACGAATAATAAATTTTAGACTGTGTTGGCGTATATATACACTTCTAGCGGAGTGTTTATTGTTCTGCAATTGGTCATTGCGGTAATTCGACAACGTATTATATATAACGAAAATAGTGTGCTAATTTTAGAGATTACGATGAGTCATTGCGAAGACTGAGTATAGAGAATAATTTAAAAAAGGGAGAATTACTTCTATCGGTTTGTTAATTAATGGAAATTGGACCTACTGTTTTATAATTTCTAACGTTACTAAATATTGAGTTTTATTCCCTTATCACATGTGTGCAAAATTTGGTATGGTTCGCTATAGAAAATAAATGGATGTTTGTGCATGAATGGGCTACAAATACAAATTATGTGCTATGGCGTTTTTCCTCATCGTGACATAATCTGCAAACGGTTTTCTTTACACTTAAATATACAAAATAATTGTGCCTACAGTTGAAAAGACAGAGAGAGGAATTGTCATTACACATAGATGGCTATTGTTGACGTCCGACATCTACGCAGTCCTCCATAGAACCTGACTTTATTAGTATCGTTTCATCCTCCACTGATGCCCCACCATTGTATAGTTCCATCTTTACCTATATAAAAATTATAATTGACTAAAACTCGTTTAATTAAAAAAACTTACTGTTGCCAACCGTACATTATATTCAATATTAAATGCTCTGTTTATATAACCTTATAGTTAGGTAGCATCGAGTCTTAAAAATATATAAACTTTAAAAAAAATATACTATTACATAAAAAAGGGTCAGCTAATTTAAAAATTACCTAATACTTTTTTTATTCCTGCTTATAAGAGCTAGCTTATACTTACCAAAGATTTCTTGTTCTTAGATACTTACGTACACGACGTATCTTGACGTTTATTTAATAAATGAAACGAGTTTTTGCAAAGTTAATGTTGCAAAAATTATAAGACTAAAATAGAACTAATAAGGAGTCACTTATGAGCGGTATCATAATTTTTCAGCAAAAATAGAATTATAATATAAATATCTTCTTTCTTCTCAATCTTTCTTTTAAAAAAATTCGCGCCATTTTTTAGTGTTGTAAGTATCCAAAAATTTTCCCTTAATTAACATCCTCAAAAAGGTGTTTTTTTATGAATTATAGAATATGAATTAATTTTTAATTATTATTTGTACATTTATGCTATTTTCTTACACAATATAAATATAATATTCATGTAGATATATACATAGAGATATTATAAAGTATTATGGAAACCATTTAATGTTATTCATATTAAATTACATTGTTATGAGATAATTACTTGGCTTACTATTAAAACAAGTTACTTCAAAAAGATATTCAATTCAACTATTTACATTTTATCAAACGGATCTTTGTTATTTGAACTTTTAAAATCGAAATCTGAAGATTCGTATACACTTTAAATATTGATCCGGTGTCAAAATTAATACAAATGGCCGCCGTGGTTATTTATTTTTTATTATTTGATCGATTGTATTCAAAATCCATATCTAGGAATTCGTATACACTTAAGATATCTATTTGGTATCAGAAGTAATAAAAATGTCATATTTAAAGTATACGTAATTCCATAAAAGACGATTTTCAATCTTCACCTTAAAATTGTACAAATTATTAAAGTAATATGAAATAATTATGAAGTTCCCTTTATTACATTCTTTAGAATATAATAATAATAAATAAATAATTTATATATGAAATACATAAATAAAATTAATTATCAAATATTATTAAATATCTACTAATAATACTTTAAGTAGTAAATTTTTACTTTAGATTAAAGTAACTAGGTGAGGTACAACCTCCAAACCAAAAATTTCAAATTTGGTAACCCTATCAGCACAGCTATCACGCACACATGTATAAAAAGTTAACCTATTTTTTTTTCAAAGCATTTGAACGGAGACACTCATAATACCGCAAAAAATATAATAATTGTAATTTAATATAAAAAATAATACACTTTCAAAAATTATATATTTATTATGACATAGAAAAATATGTTGTCTTTCTTTAATATATTACATTAACTATTCAAACACAAAATCTAAACATACTTATCTATTTACTGCAGATTATATTAGTATTGCCGTCGCTTGTTATAATAAAATGTATTTAAATTATATTGTGCACAGTTCTAATATATTTATTAATCGCACAAAAGGAATAAACTAATCCTGAGCTAAAATAACTATATATAGATAGCAATGGATTACACACACCGCAACCTCGTAAAATACTGATTTTAAAAAGAAAACAAAAATCACTATCGCACAGATCTGTAACAATATAGCAAAGAAATTTAATGGCCTACGGAAAGTGATAACCATCGTCTAATACAAACATGGACAACACAAAATATATCGTAACAATTAAAAAAAAATTAACCAATAGACAATAAGTGTTAACAACATTCTTATTAATTCTGGCAACATCTGTTGTCAATCTATTTTTAAACAAAATAATGACAATATTTCTGACCAGTTTAAATTCTAATTTAAATCCACTGCTTTCTAAGATCCTAAAATACTTTTGCTTTTAAATTTTTAACGATATGGCTGTGTCTTTGCGACATAAAATATTTATAATAATAATAATTTAAAATTATGTTAAAATGATAATACTAAAAGAATTATCGATAAATTTCGAAGCATTTATGCTTGTAATTGTAAAATTGCATTGAAAAGAAATATCTATTGCATAACAATCGTCGATTATAAAAATAGTTGGACTGTACTATTACGTAAATAACTAAAATAACAAACATTAAAATCAAATCAGACTAAACAGAATAGACTAGAATTATTTAATATATAAAATTATATTGTCATAGATAATTTTTAAAATGGCTCCTATATTTAACGCACAAAAGACATCTACATTTCGACATGTCAGTACTGTGGCTCCTGGCTATAATAAAACACAATGTATGTACTTAGAGAATAATAATTACTGAATATTATCGTATCTCTGCTTTCCTAAATACATATAATAAAAATAAATTTTTCATTCCAATTTCTTAAATATTAAAATAAAATACGGAAATTAGCTGCAGAAATATACAAATAAATGCTTTATAAATTTAAGCATCATACGACAATTGTTATATTAAATTAAATTTATTCAGTCTTTTTTTTTTTTTTTTACAACACAGGGGGCAAACGAGCATGCGGCTCACCTGATGGTAAGTGACTACCGCCGCCCATGATCACCCACAACACCAGCGGCATTGCAGGTGTGCTGCCGGCCTTTTAAAAAGGAATATACTCTTTTCTTGAAGGTTATGTTGTCTTTATACTTTCATTTGACTTTAAAATATCTTAGTATTAATGGCCAGTACAAAAGAGAATCTCTCTTCAGGGTAACGTTTCGCACATTTTGTTAAACTAAGTACATTATTTATCACAGAATATCTTCTTAATATATAACTTTTTAATTATAATATAAAGTACACCGATAATTCTAACACGTATGTACACATTCTATTGACATTTGAAATTAAATTCCAATTTCAACATATTTCCGTTACTTATTTTGTTTTACGCCTATTCTAGAACTGGCGCAAGAAACAAATCGTTGGGAGCGGTATTGACGTGTTCCGTTTGGTACGACCTCTTTATTCTTACGCGAGGGAACTGCTCGCGCCATTCTGCTACCTGAATAATTACAAAAAAATATAATTAATAATTTAATTAACCTATCGACGCACACACGTTATATTTATTATTAAACTATTGAACTTGTTAGTTTAAATAAATATTACTAAGTTTTTCATACCTGCGCATCGGGGATTTGGTCACAGAAACTGACGTCCAAAAGGCGAAGATCATGACATTCATCCAGAATACTGAAAAAATAAAATGCATTTATAATATTTGTGGTTTTTTTTATCTGTGAGGTCTACTCCTGTGCCATGCCATACCGTTAAAATTTTACCCCATTCAATACTAATTAAATAAAAAATAATATCGTTTTTTCGTAAAAAATCCTACCACCAGTATTAAGACTAAATAAATCAGTCGCCGTGTGTGCCCCGGCATAGAATGGGCCACCCCTTCCTTTCCCGTGGGTATTGTAAGAGGTGACTAAGGAGGGCGAGGGATGGGCACCAATGTCCCTCTTAAAATGTCCTTAAAAGTCTAACTGCGGTTGCCAACCCACCTGCCAAGCATGGCAACTACTGGCAACACTCCCCTTATAGAGAAGGTTTATGTCCAGCAGTGGACTGTTAACGGCTGAAATAATAATAATCAATCTTATGGCCAGTAATGATACGACAAAATGTAATAAATACAGCACCCAAGTGTTAATTCAGGTCATCAATTTTTTTAGCGATAATATAAAATTATCTGTGACGATATTTATATAGATGTATAACACTGTAAACCTAGTTATACAATACAAAATATTAACACTTACGCGTCACAAATGTCCGGTGTGACAGCCCTGACGCCTAGTAAGTCGAGTTGTTGCAATCGCGCCAACCGCGGGAGCAGAGCCCTTAAGTCCCGGTCGCAGATCCCTCGCAAAGCACCCAGGAACAACTTTCTTAGTTCATTTCCAGTAAGCCAACCCAGCCACTCGCCTGAAGCGCCCGCTTGCAAACTGGATATTTTTTACTTTATTTTTTTTTTTATGAAATATGCAAACAATTCTAGAATAGATTTGATAATTACGCTTTATAAAAAGGATCGTAAAACATGCAACTGGTTTTAGAATCGATTGGATCATTTAATAAAAAGAAAGTTAGTGAATATAATGCGTACAATGCGTTAAACCACAGTTAAATGGTGAACAGGTTTTCTTAATAATGAGATCAAATACGTTATTGCTTGTAATATATCAGGTGGACCTCCACGCAGTCCCTCTTGAAAATCATTGTGGTTAATCCCTGATGAGTTATCCAACCATTATGGACCAGGGGGAAAGGGATTGTTAGTAATGGAGACTGAGAATCCCATTGCTAGCAATATACACAACCAGGTCGACCTCCTCGCGGTTCTCTTCTGGAAACTATCATGGTTAATTCCTGATGAATTCATCATGATGGGAATCAAATTCATCATTCTCATCTATCACCCTACACTGGTGCTCCGCCAGCGTATCCCGTTAGCGCAGGCGGGGTTACCATACCATTTTCATCCATCAAAAAAAAAATCATCATGGTCGAACTGAGCTGACTTCACCCATACCTACCGTCCTAGTGTATACCATATATCTACATAATACAATCGCACTTACCACCAGCCAACGTCTAATTCTTGTAAATTCTTGCAGTTGCCAAGCGCTCTTATCCCAGTGGGCGTTAATGAGAACGAACGCCAGAAATCAACAGATATGAGGTTTGGACAGTTGTTACCGAGCGCTATAGCCACATCGTCCATAGACGATATCATTTTACAGGAACCTGTAATGAAGCAAAAACGGATCTTGTTAGATATTCTTATTTGATTATTGCAGTCATACATAGTAATTTTACTGTAATTTCATTACCATATCCACTTTTCAAACAAAAATAGAATCAAGCAAGCATATAAACGCAGTGTTTTATATTGTCTCTCTGGTAAATAAACCTTGCTAATGTTACAATTGTGCGTTAATTGATCATATTTAAACGTCTCAACAAATTTCAATGACATTCATTACACAGATCTATCTGTGTAATAAATGTCGTTTAGAAAAATTACATAAGACTAAATTGATTTACAGTGTATATTGATACCGCATTTACACTCAAAACATACAAAGTGTCAGTACATGAGACATTATTACAGATAAAAATTATTAATAGCTATTAATAACATTTTAAATTTATTTTTTATTTATTTATTCTTTATTGACCACATTACAGAAAAATGTCTGGTACAAAAGACGGACTTAATACTATATAGCATTCTCTCCCAGTCAACCTTTGGCAAAACAGAAATTTTATTATGTGGTGAAAAAATTACAACACATTCAAAAGGGGGGTAAAGACGTTTCTTCAGGGTCAGCAACGCGCGCGTAATACCTCTGGTATTGCAGGCGTTCATATACTACGGTAACCGCTTACAATCAGGTGGGCCGTATGCTTGTTTGCCACCTCAGTGGTATAAAAAAAAGCATACAATAGAGAACTACTGCACATTATGATTATATAAATATACATACATGAATACATTAAACAAATATTACATAAAAATACAAATATGTAATACAAATACCGACATACAAATATAAATATACCTACATACTTATAGATTATATAATATATCTTTGTTTAATGTAATAACTACCGGTTTAACCTACATATAATTTGGTCGAGAAATATCGACTAGTTTCGGGACTATTTGGGACCCTTGATCTTGAGCGACTGTGAAGCGAGTGCGAGCCTGACTGCGCGCTTTAGACTAGTCGAATTTTCTCGATCAAATTACACGTAAATTAAACGGGTACTTATTAGATTAAAATACAACATATACTTATGAAACATTTTAAATCACTTAAGAGATGTCTTACCAACATTAAGATGTTCTAACCCCGGATTGGATGTGATAATCGCGACCACTGCCCACGTGGTTATATCAGTCCTGTACAGGTCTAGTCTACGCAGCTTCCTCAGGTTCGCCAACACGCCCCATTCAGTGCAACCGACGACGGAACGCAAACATAACTCTGCGATATTAAATAATACACATAATTAAAACTTGTTTATAGACAACATCCTACTATTGAAGAAAAGGGATTGTTAGTAATGCGGACTACCAGTCCCATTGCTAGCAATATATCCTGTCAGGTCGACCTCCACGTGGTTATCATTCATTAAAAAAAAAGCCTCCTACCACTATTATAAACGCAAAAATTTATCAAGACATATGGACGGATCTCTCTAATGATTGCAATTGCTGGATCCAGCATACAGTAATCCAGCTGGATTCAGATCAATTCCGCAAGAATCCAGCTCTTTCAAGCGATACCTACAAACATAGGCATGTAGAGAAAAATGCAAAAATGAGATAAGAAGCGTTGACGCCTATATTCGTAACTGTACTAATGATGACATAACCCACACAAATATGAAGGAGGCCAGCGCGTCAGATAAAATTAGCGTACGGATTATATTGTACTTTACATTGCACTTAAATATTTTATTTTTTTTTTATATATATTAATTATAATTATAGGTAATGACGTTCGACCTATCCGTCATACTCGTGAATGGTTATTTAATAATAATAATATATTAAATAGTACATAGTTTTTTTAGTAAATTGTATTTACACAAAATAGATAAATACTCAGGAGGAGGTCCTGTTAACGGTTAAGGAAAAAAGACAAATTATTAGAACTATTGATGATAGAAGGGGGAAAATGTTGGGACACTTGATACGACACGACGAACTTATAAACATTATAATAGAAGGTAAAATAGAAGGAAGGAAGGGAAGAGGGAGACCGAGACATAGTTACATCAGGCGGATCAAGGAAGGAGTTTGGTGTCGTGTCGTATCAAGAGGTGAAGAGACTCGCTGAAAATCGAAGTGAGTGGCAAGAGCTCCACCGACAAGAGCGCAGCTCTTAAATAGGATAGATAGATAGATAGATAGATAGATAAATACTCTTTATTGCTTCCTCCATAAGATAACAATAGTGAACTTATTATAAATACAAACAATTACAAAAAAAAAATATTACAATGAAAACAATAGACGACCTTATCGCTAAGAGCGGTCTCTTCCAGACAACCTTTGGATGGAAAATAATTAAACAAACAAACAAACATAAATAAAGTTTAACTGGAGATACGAAACTTTGTTTCTTGAAAACTAAATAATACAGATATGTATACATAGAATAATGTGAATATATAAATGTACGTTTTAAATTACAGATACATACTTTAAAAAAAATTTGTTTCAAAACAACAACGACAATGACAACCTCTCGTTTGCATGTTGTTTTGCGTAAAGTACCAGGTTCGATTCCCAGTTGGGTTAATTTGGGAAACAAACTTTTGTGAATTGCCTCCGATTTGAGCGTTTTGGGCCGTTCGTTACACGATTACTCACATAACACAGGGTATCCATTCTTCACTCTCCAACAAGATGGTGCGATAAAAATGCTAACTTTTTAATCGATTTATGGGTCAAAAAGAAGAATCCCAAATTCGAAGGTATTAATTTTAAAATATTTTCTAGTAGTTAATTTGATTATATGAACTCATTTGTTAATTTACTTGTGCAAAAGTGTTTATCTATCTATCTAGTTAATATAAAAACAGCTATATATAATAACTAACCTTGTAGACTAGGACAAGTGGTAACAATTGCTCTTAGCACCATATTGTCTACAAATTTGCAGCAATTCATTCTGAGATGTGTCAATTCAGTTCCGCTGTCTTTGAGGAAACTGTTGATAGAAACATATCATTAATATTATGAAAATATTATGAAAGATGAAGTAAGTTAGTAATAGCGAGACACTAACGAGACCGCTGACGGCGCAACGCATCCAAAACTCGTGTAAATGACATAAATGCCTAACTAGGTAATTGCCGACGCTGCAGAACGAGGCTGATCTACGTGACGACCTGAAAACGTATTCCTGGTTCACACTTCGAACTGGGCAGTGATTTTAATATAATTACATATAGGAATTTGATATTGTAACTTTTATTAATAGATTTAAATTAGTTTTAATAAAAATTAGTTTTTTTAATCTTCCAGTTGTCGTCCTCATAATTAATATGTAAATAATCTAATTTCACGTGAAAACCCTAACGGGGTAGACAGAGAGATGAAACCAATTCAGTCTCACACATACATACCTACCTGTTCCGATAACAATTTGAATAGCCGTCGAAGTGTAATACTCATAAAACTAAATAAAACAAATACATATATATCTGCAACTGCAATTCCAAGTGGGAAGGGGGAGATGTGATCATTAGTAATGGGAACTAAAGGCTCCAATGCTAGCAATATACCCTGCCAGGTGGACTTCTACGCGGTTCCTCTTGGAGACCATCATGATTAATTCTTAGCAAAAGCATTCTGAAGAATTTGTAACAATGGGCCAACTGACCTGCTTTCATCGTCAAATTACGCCCCTGATACCTCCCAGCGTATACCGTTAGCGCAGACAGAGTAACCATTTCATTTTCATACTCAACAGGCATAAGTTGCTCGTTACTAATATTGTTTATTAGCAATCTTTTTCTTAAACATATTACATTACATAGTTGGATGTAGTTTTCGGTACAGAGCAACCCCAACAATTATTGATAGTGTACTGTTAAAACAAAGACCAAGAACAGATTTGGTACTCACTTTACAACAGAACTTGGATATATTTTGCGACGGCTGCCACACCAAGATAAGTCTAACTTCTGTAGAAATTTGCAACGGTTAGATAAAGTTGATAAGACCTGAAAGTAAATCAAAATTGGATATTAATTCTTTCATTTATGCCATATCTTAAAGGCTTCGCACGGGTTATAGAAGATAAATAGATAAATTAATATTTTGCAATAGCTTTAACTTGGATTGTATTTTAAAAAATATTAGAGATCCTTATGGAAATTGCGATGTATATTATTACAATTTTCGTAAGAATCTAGTTTTTTTTTTTTTTTTTTTTTAATAATATATACCCTATATTACTAGCTAATAATGTAGCTTTCTACAGGTGGAAAATTCTTTAAAATCGGTTGTATAGTTTTTTAATTTATACACACATACAAACAATGTATCCATTACAAACATTCAAATCTTTCCACTTTAATATTAGTATACATATAGATATAAAAATTCCGTGTCAACATATTTGTTCACGTTGATCTCCAAAACTGGTCAAGGTCAACTAGCATTATACACTTTACGATTTCGTAAATTACTCCATGACACGCTTTATACACGATCAATAGGGCCAATGACCACTCTGTGGTTGCTGTTGGCAGCTTGGCCTTTTTTTTATGCATACTAGATAACCCGTTGAACTTTGCATCACATACGTTATTTATTAGAAGTAATCGGAAGTGGTCATTTCCATGAACCTAGATATTTTTAATTTATCGATTTTTCAGCTGAAAACTGGGTTTTTAAATCGACGTAAATTTTTTTATTTTAGCCAAACTAACGAACATTAACACACACACACACACACACACACACATATATATATATATATATATATATATATATATATATATATATATATATATATATATATATATATATATATATATATATATATATATATATATATATATATATATACACTAGGCTCCGAGAAGCGATCTAATAATTTCACTGAAGATGCCTCATTTAGAGATGAAACGCGTGTCGCTAAAGGTGCGTGAACAAACTGGATCGAAGCGATCGGAGATTTATAACAAATATAGAGGGTTGTGAAAATTCTGATAGTGGTGTTTTATCTTCAAGTGTTAGCAGTATTTAATTAGTATGAACCCTGATGATCGCTGCCGCCTATTCGAATATATATTGTGTCAAATGTGAACGTATAGTAAAGTTTGTACAAACAAACAAACAATAACATAATAATGTATTATAACACCAATATATAATTACACCTAAGGATTACACTTGCTTATCAAATTCAGCACGTCTAATGAACAAGATACAGATTTTATATTTCTAAATAGTATTCAGTAATTTTTAATATAACACTATATTGTATTAATTCTTCTTATCTATGTTTTTCGATACATGTTTTTTTTTTTTTTTTTAATTTAGGATCGAAATTAAATGCTCTCTTGCTTCGACTACTTTATTGGATTTTATTGTTGAAAATTCTCATGCTTACATATACTCATGCTATCACGTATAAGTACGCTTCAATAGTTTGTTTTTAATTCAATAACTACCGGTTTAACTTACGTTTAATTAGATCGAACAAGCTCGACTAGTTTCGGAATCAATTCGTGATCCTAAGTCATGAATGACTGTGACGCGAGTACGAGCCTGATGTTATACATATAGCCCGAGTTTATTATTTTTAAAGCTCATGTTAATTTTATCCGATATCTACATACATATATAACGGGAAATTAATGAACTCAATGTGTCGTTGCCGACAAAGGTTATAGTTTATTTGTTTTTATTTCGGTTGTCTTTTTAACCGACTTCAAAAAGAAGGAGGATTTCAATTCGATTGCATTTATTTATATTTTTGACCTCATAACTCCGTCAGTTATAAAACGATTTGGAAAATTATTTTTTGATCTAATGAGATTGGACCTATAAAAAATTTATTATAATCGATTCAGTAGTTTAGTTTTTAAATCTAAGTAACTTGTTTTACCACCATTGAAGCCTTTTTTTGTGGAACGATTTATCTCATAACTAAAAGCTCCACTCGTATCCTTGGGGTGGGCATGCTTCGCCCCCATTAGACGTCTATGTTAGCTGTATTATTTTAACTAGGTATGATTTATGTTGATTTTATCACTTACACTTTCTATAAAATAAATCAAAAATTGTAAAACTTACCTGAGAATGCACACAATACCAATATGGTCTAAGATCAATCTCCCTATACAGTATTGTATCGGAGGCGAGTCTATTGAAGTGACGGTTAACTTGCGCGCATCGACATAAGGATTGTATGTCTAAATATTTCATTACGTATAATATTGTTTCGTTCTGAAATAAAACAATCATAGGTATACTACTAGTAAAGCATATATATATATATATATATATATATATATATATATATATCTTATTTCGATCTTTTATTATCCCGATCACACGGACGAACATGATATACAGAGATCTCTTATATTAATTTACAATTTCTATTAAGCACTCAAAGGTTGACTGAAGAAATAATTTTTATGGGAAAAGTCCACCATTGTATTTATTATTTTCTTAAGAACTCTGTATTCTATAATTTAAGACTTTACTGTACAATAAAGTGTTACAAACAAACTATGACTACATATATTCAACGCGAAGGACTAAAATATTGTGTAATAATATATAAAACTATAATATCCTATTATATTTGTGCTAAGAGATAGGAAAAAAAACCATGTAATTTTAGGTGCCAACAATATTGCCTATCATAGGCCGATAACATCACCCTTGTTAATTACCTGACTATAAATAGACACATACTGTATAATTATCCATGAAACGTGTTTATAACAATGGTATTGTGAAATGTAGTATGATGTTTGTACTAATTGTTAGCACATAGCGGAAAAATTACCTGATTTGTAATTTCATTGCCATAATTTATTTTTCTATAATCGACACAATTTACAAACAATGTTAGCCTTTTTATCTAAACAATTAGGTATGCATAAAAATAAACAAGACAAAAATAAAAGAAGTTTTTGTGTATGTTGTTCACATATTATTACCATTTTATCTATTTTTATTTAACTAAACTCGATTTACTAATATGCCAAGTGTCATTAATAGAAAAATAGACTCTATAACCTCGGCATAAGTAGGGAATTAAAATGATAGCTTAATTTTGTTGTTACGAGATTTGTTGTCTTTTTTTCCTTTTTGTTCTTCGTAATTAATAATTGATAATTATACAGGAAGATATATTTATAAATATCAACAGAATCATAATAGTAAATTACGAAAGAAATCTAAAATAAAAGTGAATCACGATTTTTTTTTATTTGTCAAATACACGAATATAGACATCTTACTTGTCTAGTTTTTCAAGGATTTATGATAGACAATTATTGATCATTGCCAACTTCTTTGTCCATCTCCAGACCAATTCAACAACACAGCAAATTTTGTAATTAGTCTTTTGATCACATCTTCAGATAATGCCCATAAATACAGGTGTACATACTTTATTATTTTATTTTAAAAAATCTACTCTTATTGGCTCTTTCTCAATATGTAGCGGTTGATGATTTAGAAGTCAGCGTAGATGGTGTATGTACGCCATAAAACTATTTAGATACAGTTCCCATACGACACAGAAGTACCGATCTCATTTAATGCGATAAGAACGAGGTCATAACGATAAAAAAGACAATATAATTACTATTATTAGAGTATAAACATGTTTGTAAATATGTTAGGAAAGTTTATTCGTTAATCACTTAAATTACAAAACAAATTTAAACGTAATTGTGTAAACAGATTTTCCATTACTGTAGATATCTTAATACATCCCAATACATACCAATGAAGCCATGGTTTACAGGCTTAATGCAATGAAATTTAACAATTCTTCTTTACATGGATAATATTAGAGAATTTCCTCCCATGATCCATATTACTTATAAAATATGACTTAGGAATCCATCAGTAGAGAAGTTAAGTTTATATGAGTTTAAACCATAACTCTGTCCGACATCACTTGTGGCTTACATATATCATCATAATCACACACCATCAGAAGGATATGAAGTCAATGTGTCATGCCAAGACAAAAACAAAACAAACACAATTAGCAATTATATTCTTCTAAACACTTACAGGTAATCGTTGAAAATCCCCTAATACTGTATCAGTGTCAAATTTTTCTGATTGGATGGCTGTAGGCATTGGAGGTACAATTTTTTCATGAAGATTAGATGATACTACTTTATCGAGGATTTGACCTGGAACAATTATTTATATAATTTCTAAAGAAAATAAATAATAATAATAATACCTGAATAAAGTTATCAAAACTTTAAAGTCCAGTAATATTAAAAATTAAAAAAAACATTAACAAACCTTTTTTAAATGGCTTAGGCTTTTCATCGAAGGTTCGAGATAAACTTTTAGGTATTTCTATATCCAGGCACTGGAGTCCTTTCAGCAGAACAGCATCTAGCTCTGTGTAATATGGCAGCAATTTATGGTTGAATTCCAGCCTCAAAATTCTGTTGATATGTATACTTAAAATAATGATCAATTTTTCATGTAAAGTTTTATTAAATTGAGTTTATTTAAACCAATATTATTATCTATACATAAATAGATATACATTAATTTAATCTATTATATGTATTTGCAAAATAAAGATTAATGGTGAACCCATTTTGAAAAATATAATGTTCAAATACATATTTATTCCATCATTAATATAAAGGTGTGTGAATGCTATTAATTATAATATGATAAGAAAAAAATCGTCCAGATAGTTTTAGATGTGATAAGCTACCTAAAACTGAGGTCTTTAAGGTGCACTACTGTAGTTACTACGATGAGAAAGAATTAATTTAGCCATTGGTATGATAAAAAAGTAAATTGTATCCTTGCCCAGACCCTATCTTTGTGAATAGTTGAAAGCTACACTTGCATACTGGATTGCATCAGATAATTCTAGGGTGGGAATGGAATGGAAGCACATTACATTTTAAAATACCTAAATTAGGTGTACTTTATTTACAACATAGAATCTAATTGGGAATGAATTTTCTCTTTATTATTATTAAGGAAATTAATGATCCACTGGATGAGAAGCAGCTACTGATGTCCATAAATTTATTTTAACTAAGTACAAGTAATATTATTACTTGCTTTTTACTGACATTTTAGAATACCTTCTCTTAATTTTTATATAGAAAGAAATATTTACCTTGTAGAATCACTTATTAGTTTTATACGGGGACTAAATATCCTAGGTGTATCTCCTGCATAATGTGGTTCTCCTTCCCATAGCAAATACCATGATGAAGTACTTATACCAAAAGCCCATATTCGGACTAGAGCTCCAGGATTGTATGTTTCAAATACTGACACTTCCAATGGGTAAACTGCTTCTTTAAATGACACTTCTGTTAAAATCAATATTTGAAATAAAATTAAAAAAAGATACATAAAAAATTTTGTAAAACAAGCAGTATATGTGAATCAAAATATATACCTGAATTTCCTAACATTTTTAGTTTTTATGTTGACTTAAAAAAATTACTTCTTTAATAAATCAAATTAACTGTGTAAATTAATGTTTACTATAATTACAACAATAATAGCAAAGCAGTGTAATGTTGTGATGTATATATTTTTTTTTATTTTATAATATTGATTAAATATAATTCCTCCTTCATCATATAAACATACCTACAAAATCCTGACTTGTATATGCATTATTGTTCTGGGGCATATAATTTTTTGATGCTGATGGTGCCTCATCCCACCATGTTCCATATGTTCTCTAAAAGAAAAAAAAAAAAATTATAATTACTTTTTAAATTACTTCCTAGATTTTTTCCCCATAACTTTACCAGGATGTACATAAAGTATCTTAACTATTTAGAGAATAAATAAACTACCTCTATACTAAATTTTGTTCAATTAAATTTTAACTGTGATTGAGTAATAAACATACAAAGATATTTACAAACTTTCACATATATAAAACTAGTAGTATTCTGTGGTATCAGTTACATAAATGAGTATATAAAGTACTCTAAGTATTAAGGTAGAATATAATTTATATGCATATCTAATTTCATTCAAAATCATTAGATAAGGGAAGAAAAACACCCATTCATTGATACTCCATAACATCTTCATAATTTTTTAAATTTATAACAATAATAGGAAATACCATATAGAATCTTACCATCACAAAAGCTTGAGGATAGTCCCCATAATCTGGAAAGTTTGAAGGTGGGCCGCGAAGGTTAAAAGCAGTATATGAAACACTAATTTCACTTCCATACTGAGAGCTAAAATCTTCCACATCTTGTACAAATTGTTCAATAATTTTTGGTTCTCTATTACTAACATCGTCGTCACTAGACCACAGAAAAGAAGCCATCACTTCGGAAGCGCATTGCATTTTAAAATATCTAAATTAGGTGTACTTTATCTACAAACACCACGATAACAATTTATGGTTTATAAACAAAAGTATTGAAATGAAGCTTTCAGAATTTTAATTATGTGATTACAATAATCACTGCACTGAATATCAATAAAATGTTTTTTTTTACTCTTCCTCTACGTACAAACAAGTATAATTAATTCAATTATTACGTTTACTATCAATGCAATTCATATGCACAGCCTCCCGCCACTAGGAAAGACAACATAATGAAATTATGAACAATAATCACGTCTTAGCTATCACTGCGTAAATGTTTGACTTGGCTTTGTGAAATTAACTTAATTACCTAGATATAGTTCATATCGTACACATATATCATGAATCTATGATCAATTATCTTAATTATCATAAATCAAGAATTAATTAACACTATGTAAACAGAAAAATAAAAACAATTCTGTAAATAAAAGTAGGGTAGAATTTATGATATTTAAAAGTAGACTCAACGCTACCTCTCTATCATTGAAACTTAAAATTGGTTTTGGTTTATGCAACCATCTAAAAATATCAATGCTATTGATTTTGCCTAAAGGTCTCTGTACATGATTTCATTTACAATCCCAAAATTATGTTTCATAAAATAGATAAGTAACCATTTCATAGTATAATAATTAACAAAGGGGACCTTTAAAACTTTATTTTATTTTATATACCAAAAACAGAATTTTGAGTAATATTTATTCACGTAAATTTAGATGCTAACTAATTGAATTATAATATTAAAGCGTAAATTTTTTTACGTCATTAATTTATGGTTGCATAATCATAAAACAAATTTTATTTTGTTCATAGTGATTTGAATCTTTTCATTACATATGAGCAATGACAAATGACAACTTGATCTTTTTTTAGAATGAATGGTTAAATGAATGAAATCTTAGTACTGAAAAAAAACTTTAAATTTGTAACGTTCCAATATTAAACGGTCTTAAATGTCTGTAAGTAGAAAATTCGTTTATATCGGTCTTTATAATAAAGATTTTGTTGTGATATTAAACTGAAATTTTAATTTTAGATATAGATTTGGAGAAATCATAATCGTAACATATAGTATTTATTTGTTCCCTGTTGAACATAGGTGAAAATGGTAGAAAATATTTTTTATGCAACTTATCGGTAACAGTCGCCTATAGACATGAGAAGTACTTTGATTTTTAATTTATATTCTTAATAAAACAGCAGTGTACAGTAATTTAATTGTTGTTCGTTCAGAAATTAAAGAAAAATAAAAGGTGATGTAGAAATATATTTATAAAAGTATTCAGTTACTATAAAGATTTCTGTATATTGAGTACTAGATTTTGCATCAGTTTTCACGATTTATTTTCATTCATTTGTCTACTCAACTCTGTACATTAGTCTACATCACTGCTAAAGTGTACAAGTGTCAAAAATGGCAGCGGGACCTATTGCCGAAAGGAATCAAGGTATTTACTGTTTATATACCTATAACAAATATCTAGCAAATAAATTATATTAATTTAAGTCATATAAAATTGATAACAACAATGTGCTATGTTTAAATTACCTTCCACATCATAGTTCTGATGACGTATAGGTTATGTTGTTGATGCTCATTGAATACAGCGAATTCCACAATTTTCAAGTTAATAAATAGCATTTTTCGTATAACAGTTCATAGTATTATTATGATCATTTCTAATCTCGAATAGCTATATTAGCAATTATTGTTAATTTACATTAGATAATACAATTACATTAGTAGGTATTGAGATACGTATATGTTCATAGTTATTATAGTATTTTGCTATTAAACGAAGTAATAAAAATTTATACGAATCACGTGATAAGTAGTTCTGTTACCGTATAAAATTCTTCGAGAATCCTATGTGTTTATCATCTTTTATTACAATTACTTTCATAACTCATATAATAGTTTGTATAACACTAGTTCTGGAGACATTTGATTCGTCTATTAGATAGCAAATGCTCTTTCTAATTTTGTTTTAATTTTAAAGAACGAAAATACACAGACACACTCTCTCACACACAATGCACAATGGAGTTGTAAGTCTTATTATTAGTAATTCTGTCTGCCCAATCACTAAACTATTAAACAGTTTAGGCCTCTCTGGATATATTCTTCCACTTTTCACTGATTTTGAACCCATATCACTTGGTTTATAATTTGTCAGTTTGATCTACAAATGATCAAATTATGTATGACTCCCATAAACTGCTAAGATAATCCTTGTTGTCATTATTGATAATGATTTTTTTTTATTGTGTTAAAGATGCTACTATATATGTGGGAGGATTGGATGACCGGGTGTCTGAAAGCTTGTTGTGGGAACTATTTGTTCAAGCCGGGCCTGTTGGTAAGTTAACAACTTAAAAAAAATTGTAATACTTATTTCTACTTTTCAGAACATATTTGTATTTTTTGTATATGACATAATTATGAATTAACCCCTTACTATAAAAATTTAAATGTCCTACAAACCTATTTTAACTATTTTGTTTTGTCAGTCTTTCAAATTGTACAATTGGTGTAAAAGAAAAATACAAGACACTTCAATAGCTAAAATAGGTTTATAATAGGTTTTATGTTTTTATGAATAAGGAAGTAAATGTGTTGTATTAAAAATAATAAAGGTATTGTGTCCGTTACATTATACAGATGTTAAAACTTTTGGCTTTTTTAACATAATATATAATATAAAGTACTATGTTAATATATTTTTATTAGATTAATGATAAAACATCTGAATAGGAGAGTGTATTAAAATTTTTTATTCACTAACAATAAATTAATACTTACAAACATAAAAAACTAAAAAAAATAAAAAATATTAATTTTATACTGTTATTCCAGTCAATGTGCACATGCCAAAGGATAGAGTAACTCAGACACACCAAGGCTATGGATTTGTTGAGTTTATGGGAGAAGAGGATGCAGATTATGCAATAAAGGTAGTTATTTATTTAATTCTATAATCCAAATTATACCCCCTGTAGTAAAATAGATGTATAATACATTTGTTGGTGGAATTACAATGTTAGACATTAAAGTTTAGTTATCTTACTAAGCAAACCTTAAAGATGGTTTTGAGCCTACTTGGCAGTTGTAATGTTAAGTAGTTATATCTGTAATTTATAAATTAATCCTAAATAAATTGCTTCATTTTCTCAATAATGTCATGCTATCTCACTAATATTATAAAACTGTATCTAGACAATGCCTGTATAAAGAAGATATTTAAAAAAAAAATATGTGATAGGTCTTAATAAGGCCAATAGCGGTCAAGACAATAACATATGTCTCTATGATCTGCCATAGTTGCCAGATTATGTTAATATGTTTTAAACTTATTACTTGCAAAGATTTTTTTTTATTTGTTGTGTATATAATCACATTAAAATAAGACTACTATTCTTGAATATACTTTCAGGTTATGAATATGATAAAACTGTATGGAAAACCTGTAAGGGTAAACAAAGCATCAGCTCATCAAAAAAATCTTGATGTTGGAGCCAATGTTTTCATTGGAAACTTGGACCCAGAAGTAGATGAAAAACTTTTATATGACACATTTTCAGCGTTTGGAGTTATATTACAGACACCTAAGGTAATAATTAAACTCAACTTTCTTATTTGTTTTTTTTTATGATTAGTTTTTTTTGCTGTTGTAAAATAAATAGACATGCAAGATTATTTGTTCTACTTTTCCCAATCATACATCATATTTTGATTTTATTATTATAAGCATATTTTTCCCCCTTTAAGATTATAAACACACTGGTTTATGTTTCACTGATTATATTAGAACAGTGATTCCTAAAGTGGGCCTTTAGTTAGTTTCCTAGGGGTTTCATAAAAAAGTCACCAGGGTTTTGGAAAATTATTTATACAGTGAAACAACTTCTTTCTTCACATTAAATGTTAAAGGAATCTATAAAGTGCTATACTTTTAAAATATTTGTAATGAAAGCTTTTGTTATTTATATTACAGTGTTTTTGATTTGTAATAATTTGATATGGGGTTTCATAAAATAAAAGGTATTAGTTGGACATTCTGTTATCTTAAAAGTTTAGGAACCCCTGTATTAGAAATTATGTAAGTAGAGCTTGACCTGTTAATATATTTCAAACAAGCTTATTAACAATATTTACCCTTACTAAACTTATTAATAGACAAGTTGAGAATTTAAATTGCTGTTGGCCAGATTTGAATTCATGATCATTTGAGGCTTATGACTATTAGAGTGAACCATAATTGTAGTAGATCCATATCTGTATGAATATGATAATGTATTATCAGCTTTTTTGTTACTTCAATTTGTATAATAAAAATCTCGAATTGATTATGCTTTTTAAATATTTAAAGGTCATGAGAGATCCAGAAACTGGCAACTCCAAAGCATTTGCATTTATCAACTTTGCGTCATTCGAGGCCTCCGATGCAGCAATAGAGGCGATGAACAACCAGTATTTATGTAACAGGCCAATATCTGTGTCATACGCTTTCAAGAAAGATGTTAAAGGAGAAAGACACGGATCAGCTGCAGAGAGGTGAGTTTAACTCGTACATTTTCCTTTTAACTTACTTCAATAATAACAAAATATATCAAGAAACAAGATATACACATTTTACATTAAAAATATCTGGATTTTAGAACAGAGTTGTGTTTTCAAGTAGATTTTACTTTACAAAATAAGTTTTTTACTTAATAAAGAAAATGTTTCAGTAATGTTATTAGTAGTATTAGTGAATAATGTGACCAAAACAGGTGCAAACACATATTATAATCACAGAAAATACAGACAGATTGAGAACATCTTTTGAAAGTCCATAAAAATATTTTTAAAGATGATATTTAGACTATACTGAAATTAAATAATATTAAGGTTGTAATGTTTTACATCTCCATACATCATATCACATTTCTATGGAATCAATCTGAAAGCACATCCGTTCAGATAAAGAAAATAGAAGTTTTCAAATTGATTTATAACTAATAGAGTTATGAGGTAACAAACATAAATATCACAACCAAATTGACTACCTACTCCTTTTTTTAAGTCGGTTGAAAATAAAAAGGTAGTTTGTGTAATTAGAATAATCATTAGTTACATGATACATTAAGTAAAAAATAGTTTAAATTCACAACTGTCGCAAATTTATTAATATCAATTAAATGTAATTTATTGATTATTATGGCAGCATTTAATAAATTACCTTTTACTACTTTTTAATCTATTTATCTGCATTGAAAGCAAAACACTATACAGTGAAAGTAAATCATCTTCAATCTTATTTCTGGGTAATTAATCTTTTAATTTTGTGTAAACAATTAATTGGTTAAATTTGTACACTTTTTATTTTACTGGGATTGAATACTAATTGTAAAGCGACTCCTTTTTAAATATATTATTTTTAAGTGTTCATAAACAGTTAAATGCCTACTGTTGAGGCAAATATTCTACTTGTGAAGACCTATCACTTGTTTCATATAATTTGTAATGTTTTTGCAAACGATTGATTGATTGTCAACACTGATTCTTCATTGTTTCAGATTACTTGCAGCCCAAAATCCACTATCACATGCGGATCGTCCTCATCAATTGTTCGCAGACGCACCACCAAGCATGATGGGACCAGTACTCATGGCACCACCGCCACCACCCACACCGACACCAATGCCCCCTCCTGGTCCTCCGTTGGGGGCTCGGCCACCGCCCCCTTTACCAATGTCAGCGCCGCCGCCACCCCCTTCGTCGATGCCACCACCCGGACCACCACCGCCACCGGGACCTCCTCCACCACCTCCGCCATTTCATCATTTTCCACCACCTTTTGGACCACCAGGATTTGGTCCTCCACCACCCCCAGGGGCCAGGCCGCCGCCTCCTTGGCGTCCACCCCCACCTTCGTTCAGGCCACAGTTCCCCCCTCGTGGACCACCTCCTTTCGGTCATCCACCTTTCCCCCCGCACCACCCGCCTGAACCAAATTATAATTATTAAGTCAAGTTAGATAATTAAATTCTATACTTTTTAGTTGCAGTTTTAATTGAAACTTCCCTATACCTCTTTCAATATGTGGTAGTTACATAGAAAAATAGGATACCTTCCTTTCATCCGGAGATTTTACTTTCCCGTGGGTCTCGTTTGAGATGACTAAGGAAATTTAATGGTCGAGTGACTGATATAATTACAATTATAAAAAAATAAGTAATCACGTTCAATTTATAAACAATTTTTTTATAACACGAAGGTTGCAAACAAGCATACAGGCTGTCTGATCGTAAACGTTTACTGTAGTGCCTATGGACGCTTGCAACACTAGGGGTGTCACGTGCGCGTTGCCAACCCTGAAGAAACCTTAATATGTTATATATAATTTTCTAATTCAGAGCTTGGATTGAAGATGCAACCAATTATATGAGTTTTTAATTATTTTATAATATCGGTACGTATTGTTTACTTGACCGCATAATGAATCTAATATTACATAAACCGAATTACGATTGAAAATATGAAAAAAATAAAAATTCTGTTCATAAACTAACTACTGCTAACTTATTACATGCCGTTAGATATATGTGAATTAATCAATCATTTTACATTACCAATCTTATATTTTTTATCATGTCCAATTGTTGAGGTTAATACAGCGACAGCAATTGCTAACGACTTCCAATTAGAAGTCCCCGGTGATTCAAGTCTGCACGTCCACATGTCTTGAATTTGGACTAGGTATAAATTTCATAGACTCCGGGAGAATTTGATATTTCCAGCTAAAATAATGCTATAATAAGTTATGTATTTTCTTAATGGTCACTCTATCAGTACACTGCACAAGTTGAATTATATGTATTTACACTGTGTAGTAAAAATCTCGAATAAGAGAAGAACAAGGGATTTCTGGACAGAAGCCTTTTAAATAGTCCTTAAAATAGTAAGTACCTGCTGAAATACTCGGGTATAAAATTTCCCATACCTATTTTGTCTAAACAATATGTTTCATGAAGATGACGAAAACGATATTCCCTAATGCAGAGTAAGAATTCTAATATTTTCAGGAATGATTACGCTGCAACGTAGGTATTCTTTATTGGATGCATTTGACTGTATATAAACTGGACATTGAACAGCAAGAATACAAGCTGCCTATAGTTGTTTCGTATGTAGATTTGAATTTGTTCATAATGCATTTTATTGAATCCAGATACGAGCCAAATAAAGAAAAGTTCATTTTTTAAATTTATGCAAAGCAATGTACCATGCAAGTCGTCCATGGGATTTATATATCAGGTATAATATCTCTAGGTCACAGCAGAAAAAATAATATGCTATAATATATATAAATAAACAAATAGCTATAAATTATAGTCTACGATATGGCCATACGAAAAAAAAAACCTAAATACGTAGTAACGTAAACATTATTTTTTTTTAACAAAATAATTGTATCTTTCATAATAAAAAATATGTGCATCGTCAAAGCCGCATTATGTACATCAAAAATGATCCTTATTGCACGCATCAAAATAGGGGTTAAATCTACCATGGAACATTTGCTTCATGGATATAACGTGCACAGGGTAAAAGTGACAGAGCCACCATTTATTCAACGAATATTAAATTTGTCCTCCATTTAAATAAAGAACCTATCTATATATTCACGTTCCTTTGTACAACGATACGTTGTCGTATGAAGGGTTTCATGGTTGACACAGTGTACTCTGTTATGTCCGTACTGCTCATGTCTACAGGCAACGGTTACTATTTTCCATCCGATAGGCCGTTAACTTGAATGACATTCAGTTATATAAAAAATGAAGAAATAAAAGTTTATTAATAATTGTACATATCATACAACAAATGAAGATACAATTAAACTTGTTATGTATCAATTATCTAGTTTAAACAAAAAAAACAAGATACATACTCAACACTAAAGCCGACGAAAACGTCTATTAAAAATATATCCTAGAGTATCTAAATATGTATTGAAATGTATATTTTGGTGAATAAGTAAAATGTTTTATTAAAAAGTGTATTTTTTGTACAATTAAAAAACATGACCACTCTATTTTTAATATCCATGGAATATGCAGAGTACGTTAATGGGCCAGCCAGTACGAAGGATTAAAAACATTGTTAACTCGCAAAATGAAACACAAATATTTGCGTCACTCGATGCTGCTGTGCATGTAGAGGATTATAGGGAATAATAAGCTTGTTCGATAGTTCTATGCTAAATAAAAGGGATCATTTTTACAGATTAGGATATTCAACAGAATAAAATCTACTGCACTTCTTTTAAGTTTTACCACTCGATACTCGTAAGTAGGTAACAGTACTATTTCATGTTTTACGTAGATAAATAATATTATTTAAATGTTATTTATCTACGTAAAACTGTCTTATTATGTAGATGATATTTCTTATACTTGTTTGAGTAAAGTATCTACGTCAAATAGGTATATATTCTATGATTCCTGTCTACGGTCGACTCCATATGGTATTAAGTTCGCTGCCATTTATACTATTTACATGTATTAAAATTTAATAAAAAAAAAAACGAAGTATCGCATATTACGTGTAGAGTTATGCGTTTGGCTAATCGTCTTTTGTGATATTTCTTGATACTCAACGTTCTACATGTATACTATAGTGATTTATGGGTATTTATTTCTCTTACAGATACCTTTGTTTAATGATATCTTTTCTTTTTTTTTATTGTAGTTGTAACAATACGAGTAGCTAGTAATGAAAACCTTTAGATGTTAAAAAGGCAATTAAAGTCAACTTGCTTACAATTCATTGAACATTCAAAATCCAATATGGCTGAAGCATACCTAACGTTTTTTCTTAGAATTAATATGGTTTGTCTTTAACAGATTTTTTGGTATTTAAATTGACATTTGAAAGAAACACAAAATTCGACTGAATTCGATTAAGTATATTGATTATTTTGATTGTGAACTAGGTCACGCACTCCAATAAAATTATACCTATAATAATAAAATCTAAATCCACTCGAAATTTTATTTGAAATCGTAATGCAATTTTCAGCAGTTACGATCGCTAAATGGTCACTTTTATTGCACAATAAAGTTGATCATCCGTGTCTTTCGAATAAACACTGATTGAATTAGGTTTTCACACGGCTTTTTTCTAGCCACGTAAGTACCAATCTAACGTCTCCCCAAGCCCCCAACTAAATTGACATTTTATTTTATAGATTCCTATTAGTCTCTACCCTTGATCCTGACCCGTGACACAGCGGGATTTAAGAGACCGCGTACGGTAAGACTTATATTCTACATTGGATATTTATAAACTTTTAAATGTAAAGAAAACATGATTTTTCAATATATTTCAAAATAATTAATTTTTTTTATCATGGTGATTAAAACAAATGGTTCATGACACTTTTCATATTTTACAATTGAATTCTTTATAGAGTTTTTACCATATTTTTTATAAAGATAAAGACACGCAGTAAACGTTAACATACCTATTAGTATATATATAGTTGAATTTATAAATTTGTTTTTTTAACAGTACATTGAACTGGATTAATATAGATTAATATATAAGTTTATTTTAAAAATTAAAACCTATTTGTGTGCCCATATAATTGCGATAAAATCAATTCGTTATAAAATAAGTATTTACTTAGTCTATATATCGTCTTATACATAGTATAGATGTGTTTTTAATACCTAAACTAATATATTCTATCTAATTATATTATATTTCTTATATTAAATTGGTAAAAATATGCACTCTTTTAGAAAGTTTCCTAAAATATGAAAGAATTTATTTAAGAAAGCATTGATCAGTTATATTAGTGAATCCGACACGGGTACCTACGTGGTCATGGAAACTACTTCTTTCTTATACGCTCCACCAAACAGCCACTCGATTACATTCAGTTATATGATATTCGTTATATATCTATAAACCGCTAAGATGGCGTATCCACTGAGTAAAGCATTGAATTCATTTTTGTTTGTGATACTCACAATGATAGTATTGGATCGGATCTCATCTTCAAATAGGGGATTACTTATAGGTAACATTCACGATTCATAATAAAATATTATTCTCTATACAAAAAATTTATATGTAGGTACTTTTTACTGACTCGTGAGCTCAAACGAATAAAGGGAAATGGTAAGATGGGAAACAAAGTAAATACGGATGATTTCTTTTGGATACGTAATTTAGTGCCTATGAGTTTGGGATAATAATAATAAGCGGTTTGCTTGTGTTATCAACTGAACCGTTTCTGTAATAGATTATTTATGGTTCTGTGATTATTGTTCATGGTTCGTGGAGAAAAGAAATTAAATATTTTTTTTTTCTTTGTTAGTATCGTTTAAGTGATTTTCAAAAAGATCGTACCTGAAAGCACATTATAGTATATATATCAATTGTAAATGTAATGTAACGTAAATAGTTATTAGTGGAATAGGTAAAATAAAGTAAAAATAAAATAAAAATATATAATTATGTAATATAAAAGTTATAGTCGTATGCTTCATTTCCTTCTTCGAAGGAAACTATCAAATAAAAATAAATATATAAAAATTAACGGTGTACGCATGTTTTACGTATAAAGTTCGTACATATAAAATAGCAGATGCATGAACTATGAAGAATCTACTGCCATTCATAATTCAAGTCTGTAAAGTTTACGAGTAAGTACGTACAAGATATCGGAAAACGCACACTTCAGCTATATCATATTTGGACGTTAAAACTTTATCATTGGCTACTGAAATGAGATATTGTTACGATCTTTGCTTTTAACTGTTGTTAGTGACTGTTTTACGAGTACTTACTGCACATATAATGATTGTAATCAAGTCGAAAACAAATATTAGTTTTGTTTTTGTTTGGCAGTTTATTGATTCATGTGTTAATAGACACTAGATTTTTCATTATTCATCATCATTATATCAGCCTTTAACTGCCCACTGCAGAACATAAACCTTCCCCTTTGGGTAAGCCAGTAGCAGTTACAATCAGCAAGCAAATTG